TTATTATCAAAAAGGCGGCTTGTCTTCACAGATCGTCACGTCTACTTTCAATGCGAGTCTATGCAAAGCGTTGGATACCCCCGTCTGGACCCCCCGAAAGATCCGCCTCGTTGGTCCTACGTAGGGGTTGCCAAGGGAAGCGAGGTGTTTCCGTTTCGATGGTACCATGGAACATCATCATCGGCAGATTCTATATGGGACCTCATCAACGACTACAGGAAGCGAATGCTGTCGTTTGAACACGATGCTATCCATGCAGTGCAGGGTATCCTCGAGTCTTTCCGCAGCAATTGCGACCTATGGCTCTTTTATGGGTTGCCGGTCATGGACTCAAGCACTTTAGATATCGGCAACCTCCAGAGTACCCCAAGCGTGTTCACTGTTCTTGGGCTGGCTTTTGGGCTGGCTTGCGGAACCTCTTGGAAAGTTCATTCTGGCATGCAGGCATTACTTGGAAGACTACTCTGGACGGATCGCTGGGACACAACTGTCGCGCTACATCAATGTCAGGAGACAGGGCTCAGTGATCAAGCAGAGCTACGAAGAATTGGATTTCCAAGCTGGACATGGGCTGGTTGGAAAATTGCTAACAACTGGGTGGAGATCACAGGCCACATCAGGGTTGACGGAGTTACTCCCAAGTACAATATACTCGACGGATTTTCTCTCGAAATACGGGTCTCGTACGATGACGAATGCCTTACCTGTCCGAGAGACAATCATGAAATCCGACGCCGGTCTGGGAACATTAGCCAATTTCCAGACTTTCTCATCATAAGCGGGCCCGTGTTTGACGTGAGCATTTCATGCACAAATGCAAACGACCAGTGTACCGCTGGCTATCTAACACGCCCCGTTGTCTGGAAATATACTTCACCCCCGTTCCTCGCACGTGCGACTTACGAGGGACCGCCATTCTCAGTCGACGAAGTCAGGGGAGATACTTTAGACCTCGTGGCACTTTACATCCTTTCTAAGGCCCTTGAGAAACCTCATCTCAATACATTTGTCCATGCGCTCCTCCTACGACCGGTTGGAAGAGATGTCCATGGGCAGATCTATGAGCGGGTGACATGCGTCAGATTGAGGGCCCAGCTGGGTCCAGGCCCTCCGGTGAAAGACCTCAAACTGAGACAAATGGAGCTTCGCATATGATAGCAATCATGGCATCAGGCTGTATATAGCACAATCTCTTTCCTTTCTATTCTAGGTAATTTGCGTTTCTCCAATATATAGTCACTGCCCGTATCAAACCACATGTTCACTTCTTGTCCGCAAGCCATCAACACGTCAAATCGTCAAAGCCATCTTCCAATACTTCTACGAAAGAAACTCGATCACTCCCGCACGTCGCACCCCCTACGCAAAGAGTAGCACCGAAGAGCGTAGAGATATCCAAAGGGACTGTCCCTCCATCAGACTTTGCAGAGAGAAGGAAAAGAGCTTGACTCAAGAAGAGCACGAAACGGGGAAAAGGTCGTCTGGCAGGTAGTGCAAGCCTGAAAGACTGGAAGCATTGCTTGACTGAGATGCTCCATGACCCATGCGTCTGCTGGTCTTCGAATTATCTACCCACACCGGTAGGTAGCAAATACAAGATTATAACATATAGAATGAAATTCTCATCATTTAATACCGAAGAAGCTTGCAGGAAACAAGACTATTCCGACTAATGACCGACGAAGTGTTTGTGCCTCAGCACATTATCCTTTCTACCCTTGTATTCGCAACCCGGAAAATCGCACTTCACATGCATGTTCCACTCAAGAATGTTGTTCTCTCGGGCATACACCGGGTGCCGCATCCACAAATGACGGCGGAGATCTCTCTGGTTGCCTGCTTTGTAGAGGCAACCTTCAGTGGCTTTTGTCGGACATTCGCGAAGTCCAAACTGGGATTCACCTCCAGTGTTAAAGTCAAGATCGTCACCTCGGCTCCTTCGAGGGCTCTTTTTCTGGCTTTGCTCTCGGTGAGCGGCACCTCCTGGTTCATTATGCGCGTTGGTGGGAGGAGGTCTGTGAAAAGGAGGTCTGTGAATGATCTCTGGTCCCAAATGCTCATCAGGATTGTCGTCAGGGTTATTTTCCAAACTCCAACTCCTCGGACGGAAACCCCCATTGCCTGTGTTCCAATTTGATTCTAGTTCAATTCTGGAGTCTTCGTTACTGGCAGCCGTGTGCGGGAAAAGCGGCAGGGACATGTCGTCGTCCCACTGAATGAACCCACTAGGCAGCGGGTCTGATTCCATGCCCACGCTGTTCCACAATTGCGTAGCTGGTAACACTGTCGTGAATCCATACATTGCACCTGGCCCACCTTGTACATATGATGCATCAAAGTGGTGAGGTTCAAGAGTTTGGTGGGATGACGCGATAGTCCCAGGAACATTTTGTTCAGGTTCATCCTCGACTGTACCATCGGGACGCCTGTACTTGAACATGCTGATTGGCTTGAGTGATGGCCACACTGGTACCGGAACAAAAGGAGGAGAGTGAAGATGAACAGGCGGCGGGCCTTGCGAGGGTTGAGAGGGAGGTGGCACAGCTTCACGAGAATCCCAGCCCGATGGTTTGACAAACGAGGGTAACTTAACCCCATCTTTATGCATCGCAGTATCGTCGCTTACAAGACGTGGTAGTCCGTCTGGTATCTTGTTATCATGATGCTCAGGGGCTTTCTGAGATTCTTCCATGTCGTTTTGGTCATCTGACAGCGATTCCTCGTCTAGCCTACGATTCGGAAGCACGAACAGAGCTACGTCTTCCTGATGTCGACCAACATGACGTGTGTATGCCTTGAACGAGTTCAGCTCTTCACCGCATAATTCGCATTGCTTGGGCGCATCGAGCGGTCTTTCTTGTTCGGATAGTCGAATGAGACTCTCTGAGCTCAGGCTCTCGGCATGTTCCTTGTGAAATGTCGCAAGATGGGCTTTCAGAGCCGGTAGATCGTCGACTTGGAAGTCTTTGCATCCAAAGGGACAGAGAAATATGCTCCAGTGGGCTTGCTGAACATGCTGCGTCCACTGGTGACGCCGTTGGAAGTCTTGTCCTGCAACGGGACAGTCCGGATAGAGGCAGATGTAAGGCCTCAAGTCTCCGAGGACATGTTTCCTGCAATGAAATTGTCGGGTCAGCATGAACAATGACCCCAAGCAGGACTCGGACAATGACAGGATTCTCACCTCCAATCTTTTGTTGTCTCAACTGATATCATCCGGTAACAGAAGGGGCACTCAAATGGCCCTTGTTGTGCTTCGTCTGGCATTGAAGGCATTCTTGATCGAGATCCATCAGGAACTGAGCTAGGGGCAAAGGAGGTCTCGGTTCGACCAGCCTCAGAACGGCTGTCGAAGTCCTCGACACCAGAACCGTACCAGTTGGATGTCTTCAGGTGTTGCGGGAGAGACGAGGCCACGGTGGTCTCTCCTACTGTCTTTGTGTCATGGCATGGCGGCTCTATTCCATCTTCGGGCAGTCCTTGCGCAAGTTTCCGACGGTGCTCCTCTCGATATCGAAAGTACTGGCGCCTGAAGGAGTTGGCTTTTCCAAGCTGATTGACGATCCCTTGATGTGCGGAAGGAAACTTATTTAGGATATGGGCTGTGTCAAACGCTTCATAGTGAGAGGTATCAATCATTGCTGACCGCCTGAATCGATCGTGAGGGGCAGGGTGGTGGATCGAAACTGATAGTCGGAATAGACAGTTGATGATCTCGGAGGCTTCAGACACAATTTGGGATAGTTCTGTGAGACCTGCGGGAGACTGGGCTTCTGGGCCATCACTGTCAGAGTCCTCATCGTCTGAGGTGGGTTCCATGCTGTCCCAAGATTTGACTGTTCCGTTGGCTATTGAGGTTCCTGTCCAAAATTGCCACACTCGCACGTTAGCCTTGTATGAGCAGACCTGTGAAGTTCTTAGGGCTCAAACTCACCATCCTGAAGGCATTCCACCAGGCCTTTCAACAGGTTGATCACCTGGGTCCTGATGTGCGATGCATCCTGTAGCCGGTAATCCAGCGAGGACCGCCCCGTCCGATGTGCCCTCAGGTTCGTCGACCATACACGAAATCTGCCCAGCTGATTCTTGATGGAAGGTCGAAGATCCTCCGGGACATCATTCTCTACCAGACCACACTTTTGGGTTAGAGCCGCAAGACTGTCGTTCAGTGACTTGAACCCGTCGAGGCATGAAGGCACCAAGGCCGAGATATTTGCCATGGCTCGTCTTCGGGTTACTGCTAAAGGACTTTGTTGGCATCGATGAAAATCCTGTGATGGCGTACCTCTAGATTGAATAGAGGTAGGGTTCTTGTTGCTAGCCCCAACTTAAGAAAATTGATGTTCCCTTCAACTGTGAGGTGGGAGAGGTGAAGTTGGCACACTTGAGCCGCCTTACAGGTGCCTATTAGACGAGTCAGTAAGCACGATGCAACCTTGACATACCCAACCAAACAGCCAACCAGCCAGTATGAAGCCCAATGCGGGGTCAGGCAGCGCGGGGAAAGGACGGACTGCGCCACTGTGGTTTGTTTGGCAGGCATCAACCTCAAATGTTGACAGCGACGTGTGCCATTTGACTCCTACCTTATCTGTAGGGTATGTATCCATCCCCGTTCATTTCATCACACGCCTGCCTACCGCTGACCAGCCCGGGTCGATTTGTGACAGCTCGTTAGTTCATCATCCGGCCGAGCTCAATTGCAAGTCCCAGCTATGTCAGGATTAGAGGTCGCTGGTCTTGTCCTCGGGGCGTTGCCTCTCATCATCTCTTCCTTGGAAGGCTATGCCAAAGGTGCCGGAGCATTTAAAAAATGGCTGTTCTACAGACGGGAGCTCACGATTCTGCAGAGAGGGTTGCAAACAGAGCATGCGAAGCTCCAAAACGTCTGCGAGAAGCTGCTGATGGGGATAGCACAGCCACCCGTTATCGAGCAAATGATCAAAGATCCGTTCGGGCCCCAGTGGATGGAAGAACAGATTTACCACAAGATCCGGCAGAGGCTATGGAGAGCAGCCGGGGTCTTTGAGGAGAATCTCAGAGATATCCAAAAAGCCCTGAAAGAGTTGGAGGACAAGTTGAACCTACCTGTAGGTTCGGGTGTTGAGGTATGAGAGCTCCCAGTTGTTCTCGCCCCAAGGATTCTGCTGAGAGTGTCTTGCTAACGTTCTCGTTCGCTAGCCCCTACCGGATAGAGTCAGTTTCAGAAAAGAGCTCAAGAGACTATCATTCGCTCTCAACAGGTCGGTGTATCTGGAACTGCTGACTCGCATTCGAGATGGAGTGTCGAGCCTTGAGGCATTAACCTCCCAGAACTCAGACCTGGAGCCCGAGAGGGTCAAACGATCAAACGGAAGGTTATATCGTCTCATGAATTCTCTATCGAGCGCTATCTACCAGGCTCTGTGTGCAGCCATGAATGCCTGCCAGTGCCCTACTTCACACCGTCTCGGACTGAAGTTATCAACACCTTCCTACACCAGCCTCATACCGGAAGATGAGGATGAAGACGTGGTCAGGAACTTGTCGATGAAGCTTGCGATATCCGATCAGGACACTGCACACGGAAAGCTCGATCGATCATGGTCTTCTTTTATGGTCAAACCTTCCAGTCGACCTCGGCAATGTCAAGTTTCCACTCACCAGAAGCCCACTGCGTTTGTGAAGTCCGAATGTCCAACAAAGCGGGCCCGGAAAACCGTTGGGTTCTCCTTATCAGGAATGTCAGCAATGAAGATACATAGCCTGCGGTCTCGCTACTCGTCTCGAGAGGTGGAGGTGAAAGCATCATCAAGGTCCTCCACTCACACTGTGACCCTTGAGGTTGTCAGCACGAAACTGGAAGCATCAAACCAAGACATAATAGTGGACCTTTGTGAAACCTTAAGACAGCTGCCGAGCCTAGAAGCAAGCAGTTGTTGCGGCCATATCATCGGACCAGCGGCAATCAACGCTTCCGCAACGGAACGATACGGTCTCTACGCATTAGGTCATCTGCGTCCCTCAGGCAGCTTTGGCCAATGCTCCTTCATATCTCTCCATGAAGTATTGACCGAGCAACTTACTGCTCCTTGCCTTTTCTATGACGAAGACAGACTACGACTTGCCTACACACTGGCATCCAGCGTCCTCCAACTGGCAGGAACCCCTTGGCTCACAACCTATGTGACAACGAAAGACGTCTTTCTAATCCGATGCAATGGCACGACACATTTCCAGGAGGCCTTTGTCATCAGACAACTTCCCGAAATATCGGATTCGATGCAACTCGATACCCAATCACCACAATGCCTCGCTGGCGGCGTGCAACCGAACCAGGGAATGCTCTTTCTGGGCATCATTCTCATTGAGATCATGCTCGGAACACCTTTTGACTTCTTCCGCGAGTCCCATATCAAACAGCATGGTCCTTCGACGCTGGGATCGTTTTTCTCCGATTACGAGACAGCAATCACGCTGCTCGGCAGACTTGAGACGAAAGGCGGCCCAAACTACAAGCGGGCTGTTGAACGGTGCATCAAGTGCAAGTTTCCTCAACCAAAGGCAAACCTTGACGGTGATGAGTTCAGGAGACTCGTGTATGGTCATGTGGTAGCGCCGTTGGAAGAGGACTTGAAGCAATATTCTCTGCCTGACCTGCTGTGATGGCACATGACGGCCGGGGATTCATGAAGTAGGCTACTCGTGAATCCGACTGAAGTTAAAAGCGTGCAACAAGTGATGGTGCCGGAGGATCCAGAAAGCGGTGACGTGTCTTGGGGCAAACAAAGAGGTCTGGCCACGGAACTCAGGATTTGTTCCGGATACAAATCTTCCGCGAATAGAGGTATATCTACAGCCCTTACCAGCATGCCGGAGAAACAGGAAATCTCAAAGTCCACGGCTTACCAAAACCTCCAGTTTAAACTAACAATGTGCGCTATCTGGCTCGAAGGAGAAGTCACCTACCCGTGCGGACACGTCGTCAAGCACTCGTACCGCACCTTGGTCCAGCTCAAGGGATGCAAGCTAAGTCCCTGCACAACGGTATCAACCTACACGCCTGGAAGGACGGTTTCTTTCCCTTGCTCGACGTGTCAATCCAATGGCTCGTACTATTGGGAGAAAGGGTGGAACGCATGGGTTAAGAAACAAGTCAGTTTTGCGAATACGGGCTGAGGATCGAGAAAGAGAAGAACCCAAAGTAAAGGAACAGTAACGTCGATGGAAGGATGTTCATAACGTTAGGGTCACTGGTCTAATAACAAATCGATGGTATTCCCTACTTGCCCCTTTCCCTCAGTTCGATACGACCATGACACTCTTCCCCTCCCCCCAAGCAACACCAACTTCCCTCCCAAACCTCAAATTCTGCCTATTCTCATCCTCCTGCTTCCCATTTGCCCCTCAGAACCATCGTCCCCCAATTCCGCACCACTTCCACTTATATCCCTCATCGGATTCACCCCCTAAACCCCCCCACAGCCTCCACCCAAGCCGCATACTCCCCTTCCCCCAAGTATCCCTCCCCTCTCAACTCCTCCACGACCCCCAGCACAAAAGTCTGATCATTAAACCCCTTATCCGTCGGCGGAAACGTAATATACCGATCTACCTTCTCCAGAAACACGTCCCGCATATTTTCGTCTGCCACGCACAACGGGATGAACGTCCCTTGCATGTTGAGTAGTTGGTGCGTGGTTAGGTCGGCGGAGGGGAGGTAGTTGAAGGTTGGTTGTTGCTGGGACTGGGACTGGGACCGGGACTGTGACTGTGTATGGGACTGGGCGGAAAAAGGGGAAGAGGTGATGACGGGTTGAGGCGCCACTTCGTAGATCTCCCAGACCGAAGAAGGGGAAGTGATGGATTGCGAGGGGTGGCTGATGCCGGAATAGGGAGCGGAGATGGCGAAGAGCCACCGGTAAAAGTGGTTGCCGTAGGTTGGACGGAGTGAGGGGGGAAGGGGGAGGATGATGGTTTGGATGGAGCGTTGGCCTTTGAGGAGGGACATTGTTGATGGTTGGTGGTTAAAATTGAAGGTTGAAGGTCGTGAAAGTGATGTGAGTTCTTTTCCTGTCGATCTGTTTGACGAGTGGGTTGGCTGCCTGACCTTTTGTCTTGTTGAGACTCGAACAATGGGGAGATGTGTTTGCGGCTCGTGCCGGCCGGTGTTTGCTGTCTGTTGGGCCGTCTTCTTTCTTGCAATCGCGGGACAGAGATTAAACGTTGAGATGTCCCGTGGTCTCGATCCTTCTGGAATGTTTGTCCCTTGTTTGTTCCAAAGCTAGCAGCTAACGCTCCTGTCTTTATACCGCGTTGACGGTTCAAAGTCTCAGGCGTCTTCATGCTCGTACCTCTTGGCATTTCGTTCCTTCCAAGCACATGTCGTCCTGCGCTCTCGTTGGTTCCCAACACAACGGAAACTTCAAGGAAATAATGACAGGCAACACGTGGAATGCGGCACGGACGGGTCCGATTGGGAATGAACGAAACAACTGCAAGGTCTGATACCTCTAATGCTCATAAGCGCTTACAGTCACCTCCGCCTTCGGCCACCATGACTGTTGAAGACGGCGGGGTCTTACTAGTCGTAGTCTAACAATAGCCCCGAACTCTCACCAACTTCCATGTCGTTCATAGGTACTAATGCTCCTTCAGCATTAGTACTAACACCGTTGGCAAAAGATCTCATCCCAAGAAGTCGGACGGTGGATGTCGCAAAGTTCGCTTATGATGATATGTGCCCCATTGTCGAGGCGAAGTCAAGAACGGTGGACCGTGAGTGGTGCAACAGCCGACAGACGAGCGGAAGGAATACGGCGCTAAGAGAGAAAAGGCGCTGATTGACGGAGTTCGTGACCGGCGTCGGGGATTTACGAAGGGATAGGCATGGTGCAAAAGTGGAAGCCTAGAGCTTCCCCTTATATGTTGTGGAGTGATTTGTCACAGGTTTTCGGAGCATAACACCCGTCGCGCGTTTTATCATCAAAACACTTTGGGATTGCGGAAAGAATGGCAGAATGTCTCGCTTCATTATCTGTTGGTCGTAATCCTCAAGGATCGAAGTTGGAAAGAACCATGGCCCGGCGGATCTCACCTCCCGATCCTCTTCCTTCCGCTGATGGATTTCGCGCCATCTCACTCGCTACTCCTGTTCGAGCGAAGCCAAGAACGTTGTACTCACCAACTGCTTTATGCACAGGGCAAGATTGACCAGAAGAGAAGCAGCTGCGGCCACCACCAACACGCAAGTGACAATGCCAAAGAAGGACGAGTTCAACTCTGACTTGAACTGCACCGTGGAAAGCGCCAACGCCGCCACCGGAATGACAGTATCACTGCATTGCCCCTTCCATGACAGTCTTCTGTGGATGGCAAAGCTCACGAATGCCACAAGAGAGACAATAAGCCAGAGAGCGGCCAAGCCGAGGAGGAGCAAGGCCAGAAGGGTGCATACCACGTGAGCAACCTGCGCCGTAGCAGGCGTGCCGAACAAGTTCCCACTTGAAGCTCTTGCTTGGGTGTCGTCGCCACCAAGAATAGCACTGACGTCCTCCACTGCTCTTCCGAGCATCTGTACCGCCGCGGCACAAACACTCGCCGACCCCATCATCCACAACGAAAGCTTGATCAAGTGGACGGACGCCCATCCTTCCACCTGTATCATCTCCTGCTGCAGCACCGCAAACAGGAATAGCGTGGTGAAGAGCGCCACTCCTTCCACACAAAACGACAACACCAACACCGGAGTCGCCATGCCCACTGATAACGTTCCCAACCTCACCAACACCGACACCAACAGTCCTCCTACTAATGCCAACAGCCCCATCCCAAAAGCCGAAGTCAGCATACATCCCGGCAACACCACCCTCACCTCATTCTCTTCTTCTCCTCTAACGTTGAGTCCCTTCCTCAACACCCACCGCTCACTCTGCCCTCCCACCACCCCCATTAAAATTCCCATCACAAACACCATCGTGCCCGTCATCCACACCACCCCAACCCACCACATCACATAAGCAATCATCGTCAACACACGCCTCCTCAGCTCTTTTTCCCCTCCTCCATCAGCATTCCCCTTTCCACTCCAATGCTCAGCCTGAAGCCGGTCATCACCATACCCAGCAAGAAACACAGCAAAAGCCACCAACGTAAGCCACGCCATCGGCCAATAAGCGAGAGCCCCCAACTTGCTGGCGTTAGAAGTTAATTCAGGGCATAGCTGGCGCGGCCTAGTACAGCACTTGGAATGAACCAAGGAGCAGCAAAGCATGAGCAGCGAAAAAAGAATGAAGAGGACAACGTCGGTGATGAAGAGGGCGGTGGTGAGGGTGGTGAGGCCGTGAAAGCGGTAAGGAGGCGGGAGGAGGAAGAGGATGAGGGAGAGGAGACCGAGGGATGTGGGCCATGTGAATCTCTCTGGCGTTAGCTTTGATATGTGGGATGGGATGGGGAGGGGGTGATGTGATGGTAAAGCGTACCGAGATAAACCGCAGCTTTGGATGAGAATGTTGGATGGGCTGCGGGGACGCAAGTCCTTCCGTTGAGGCGCCGTGAACGGCTCGGCGGTTGCGTGATGTGGTCGTCGGTGTCGCTTGCGCACGATCTTTCGTCGCTCGGGACTCGGGGTTGGCTCGTTAATGAGAGTGTCACCGAAGAACTCGGAGATCTTGGAGCTGGGCCTCGCAGCCGCATCGAGTATGATTGGAATGACGCCCTCTTGCTTTTTGACGCTGTACATGATGCTCGCTATGTGATCGAAAGTGTTGATGTGGGAGACAAGCTGGGCAGAAGGCTTGCAGGTGCGTCTTGCATACCTACAGTAGGTAGATCAGGAACTGTTGACCGTCCAACGTCATGATGAGTTGTTTGACTGTAATTCACAAGGGAAGCCTGAGCGGGCGGTCTGTGCCACGCAAGGATTTTGATGATCACAACCACGAACCATACCAATTTCTCGATTTTTTTCATTCGACATGCTACTGCCAAGAACAGAGATGTATACCACCCACCTTTACAGAAGCTGATGATTGAGATATTCTACCTTCCTCGTGTCAAATCATCAAATCCTCACCTCCTTCACGTCCTTATCCAACACCGGCGGCCAAGGACCAGCGGGCAACTCCACCCTCCGCTCATGGTGGTGGTGCAGCTCCGCAAGGAAGACACTCGTGACGCGTTCATACAGCGGGCCAGCGTCATCCTCCCCAACCTTTCTAAAAAGCAGAAAGTGGAAATCGAGGAAATTTGTCGACTGAGGGAAACTTCTCGAGTAGAAGTACAGACCCAGCAGGGATACACAGCTTCCGTTGACTTGCTCAAACAAACCCGGCGGTAAGTCCTGTTCCTTGCCTACCAAAAATGGCGGGGACACGTACTTCCAAACACAGGAGATGGTGCCTTTTTGGTCTTGGACTTCAGTACATACGAGGTCTGCCTCAAAGACTGAGCCGGTTATGCTGAGGTAGTCCGGGAACTTGCCGATGATTTCGGAGCGCTTGAGGATTTCGGAGTGGTCCGTTATCCAGTCCAACTCCTTGTCTTTAAAGGCAAACTTGATGCTGACGGGAATTTGGCTTGTTCCGAAGCCTTGACCAGTCGTCAAGCGACCGGGAGTGACGCTCGCGTCGTGGCTTGGAAGGCTCTTCCAGCCGGCCCAGGTCCAACTTGGGAGGACTGTTCTACGCGGTGAAACCTCGGTGGTATTGTTACCCGTGGCGGCGCAGTCAGGCTTCGCCAGCCATTCATCCTTCCAGAAAAGGCTTCCCAAAAGCTCGCAAACGCTTACCGCAGGATGAGTGTCAACTTCAAAGAAGATTCCCTGCGGCGGAGAGACCCGATACTCATCAGCCTTAAGATTCTCCGGCACCCGCGAATGTTCCGGTCCACGATACGGCAAGCCCCAAACGAACCTCAAGGGTGTTTGATCCCGATACGTCTGGATGATCCCCTTCATAGCGTCCAGGCCATCCATGTCATACGACAAAGTCCTGTTCATGAACTCTCCTACCCGTACCCAAAATGCAGACTCCCAGTCCCACCAGTCCCAGGGGTAGGGAAACACGGCTTCCTTCTTGCTGATGGATTTCCCTACGTGGTCTCGCCGCGCGAGATGTTCTCTCTTACGGTGTGGCTTTTGATACCCCCATTCCCGCCCGTTAAACTCTAATTCGCCTGTGGTGTGCATCTCCTGGCACTGAAAGTAGACATGTCGATCGGAAAAGACGAGTCTGCGCTTGGAAAGCAGGCCCTCCTGGTACGTCCAGCCGCGGGAATGCCACTTTGCCGTACGGATCTCCGTATCAGGCGGATTGAAGTAAATGAGTTGCAAGTGGTTGTTGCCACCGTTATAAGGAATGTCGGTCCAGAGCTGCGGAATACGTGGGGCCGAGCTAACTCCCGGAAGGCCGTACTCTGCGTCCTCGCCGGCGGCGCCAATGATGGTGAGGATTGAAAGGGAGTAAATGCTACCCATGTTCTGGATCTGTATGTGCTTTGCGTATGGGTCGTTCTGGGGGATGCAGTACCGATCCACCCAAAGGTACTTGTACCCAAGTTTCAGGGTAACTATCATGGCGTCGTTGACGATCTTTGGGAGTTGGTCACCCTCGGGGAGCGTGGGAGTTGTCATTGAAGTGGCGCCTGAGGTGCCCCATACGTAACTTAGTGTGACGTATCGAGGCTTGCCGAGGCCTATTGCTGGCACTATCTTTCTGCTATGGCAGTCAATGAGACACAGTCCCGGAATGGTGTCGGAGAGAGGAAACGACGGTGCGTCGATACAGGTTGAGTGCTCAATCTCGCAAAAGGTCAACCACTGCTTAATAACATCATAGTTAACTGTGTCTGACACCCCTTCATCCTCGCCGCCGTGATCCTGGCAGGGGAGGATGTAATGAGTCTCGGACCATGTTCGGTGCAGCTTGCTGACCCAAGGACTTTGCTTGTTTCCGTCTGGACACACTCTAAGTTCCAGTACTTCCACATCAAAGAACCCTGTGTCGGCACCGGGGTCATCGCACGCAAAAGCGGTGGCACCTGTTATCCTGCGGGTACCAGGCTCGATATAGCCACTGTTGGAAAACTCCTCGACCGGAAAACCCATTCTTGATGAACAGGCTGCAAAGAAGGCGCACGTCGGGCACGTATCGCGGTTGTTCATGCTCACGCGCCACGTCTTTTTTGGTTCCCAGCACGGCCGTAAGGTGTGGAAATCCAGATATGCTAAAAGGTTGAGGGTGCGCCATGATTGTGCTTTGATACCTTTGTTCGGTTCGAAGATGTTGTGGAGTTTGATCCATTGGCATTCGTGGCATAAGCCTAGATCCTCGGTCTTCTGTTGTCGGGGTTTGAATGCCTTCCTCAAACAATTCGCTGCTCGAGCTGCTGCGGTAAAGCGTTGCCATGACCGGGACCCCGACCTCTCTTTTCTGGCTGAGAAGGATGAATCCGGGATTCTCATAACTTCTTGATTCAATACTTTGGGCTCCTCCGAGCGGAAATGCCGGGTCCAGGCCATAGTAGGACGGGCTATTCAGGCTGTGATGGAGAGGAGCAATGGATGTTGAGCGTGAGAATGACAGCTCACGCTTTCAGGAGCCTGTCAATATTCCAATCGATTACACCGCCTACATCGATGTTAGTTGAAGAAAAGAGGGAGCCATTCCAGTGATTCTTACCAACGTCGATGTCACTTTTCTCACAAAGAAACCGTCGATAATTTTCTTTTCGATTGGGTTGAGGACGATGAAGTCGTTTCAACATGCAAGCCCAAGCATAGGTACCATCGAAATACCCGCTGGAACCAGCAGGGATTCAGCGAGCCATATGTCCATGTTTCATGCGCTATCTTACCCAAGAGCCAATCCGAGTTAGGAGTAACTTTGACGCGTTAGCTGAATGGAATCGGAGATCTTCATTGGAGGCCTGGAGCCACTCACCGTTACAGCCAACCGCCCGCTGCCCGTAAGCGCCGGCGATGAGACGGGCCACTCTGTCGGGTAGAGGTAGCTGGTCATCTTCGCTTGTGCCTGATGCCGTGTAAGGAACGCACAGCTTACACAAAAGCCTTCAAGCACCTAATTCCATCGATCTTCAACAAGACTGCCTCGACCGCGGGACACATCTGGAGTTGTCTGTGGATATCGAGAATGTTTGGGGCTCGGGAGGGTGGTTTGGTGTTGAGTTTGTGCGCTGTGGATTGATTCGTTGTGCTGGGTTTTGGCGGAATGCTGTTAGTGCTAAAATAGGGGAGGATGGCGCTGTGGAAACAGGGTGTAGATCTGGGTCCACAGGGCTGAAATGTGCCACCCCTGCGAGCCTCCACTACTTGTACAGGGGCACCAAACTTGGCAACCTGAACACAATGTCACCATCAAAACAAAACAAAACACTCCATGGACACTCGGCTACGAGTCCACCAGACGACACAGAGAACACTCCAAGGCACCGCTGTCAGACATTTCTTTCACAGGATATGGGGCAGCCCTCCATATCTTGCCATCCCCAATTCCATACCGCCAGACCCAACCGTGAACAGCGACACCTGTAAGCGGATGGACCAGGCCTCATCCCCTGAGCGCCGAGTCCACCTTGGATGCTCCGATGCATTTCCATTCTCAACTCGTGCTCATGTTGGAGTATTCTCAGGTGTGGAGGTGAGTGTTGGTGAGCGTTTGTTGTTCTCATTCGATGGGCTGGACACGACGTGTGTGCAAACTGCTATGGCAGTTTCTACCGCCAAAATTGGATGAGTTACGTTTCAGAGGGCCTGTTGATATGGCGCCATTTGTGGACGAGTAAATGGAGGCTTTTGGAGATGAGGTGTTCCTGTCGTTCTTGAATGGGCTTTGTCATGGACCGTACAAAGGAGGGGGAGGAGGAGATGAGAAGTTGCGAGATGATGCTAGACTGGAGTGTAAAAGGTTGAAGAAGGCGGTGGCTCCCAGAGGTGTTGTTGCGGAGGAGTTTTGAGAACGTTGGGATTTTTGACGGATTGCACTCGTTGATACTGTGGTAAGGGCACTTTGCCGGTCGTTGGCAAAATATGAAAGTTACCTCTACAGTTTGGTATAACTTTACCTCTACGGTAAATAAAGGGCCCCGCAAACGCCACCTCCTCCTCCTGCTCCTCGTCCTCCTTCTTGTCTCCCCGCCCTCTCCCTTTCTCTTTCTTGTTTTCTCGCAATCAACCAGAAGTCACGCCGTCCTTTCTCTCGGCTCATCTGGGTCTTGTTAGCCCGTTCGTCCTTCGCTCACCATCGCGTAAGTAGGGTAGTCACGTCCCCCCTCTGGAACTGAGTGTACTGACAATGGAAAGTGAGGTAGAGCTCAAACAGCCCACAATGCCCAAGATGATCAAATACACCGCGGAGCATATGCTCGCCCAGGTCATGGACAATATCGACGGCACCGATCCTACTTTGGAGGCCCTCAAGCTCTATCCCATCCCGGAGCTCGAGACGGATCTGTCCAACTACGATCAGTGGGAGCGTGTGTTAGACTTTCATCTTCAATACTATGGCCTGGATGAATTGGTTGAGTTCATGAAGATTGACTATCCGCACGGTCCCGGGCGCGACGACTTCAATACGACAGACCACTGGCACCGTTGGCAGCGTCATTGCCTCCATGCGTACTCGATTATCAACTCAAAGGCCGCGAAGGTCATTGAGCAGGGCTGTCTGTTGGACGACTGGGGCCCGATCTCTCATTGCCCTCATGATCTTTTGGAGGCGATTCGCGAATACAGGCGGGAAGTTTTCAATTTGGACTGAACCATCTTTCGGCAAATGAGCTAGTCAGACATCTAACCAGACCAACCGACAACTAAGCATTGTGTGACGGAGATCGCCGATTTCTGCTAGGACTTGGGCAATGTAATAGCGGAGTTTTCACTTCCAGGTCAGAAACATGTCAGATGTCGCTTCAGGGATTCAGGTCAGGCACTAAGCTCGCACAAGTTCGGTTCGACAGTCAGCGGTCACTTGCGGAGGAAATTGTTCCTGGTGGTAACAATGAACATGGGAAGAAGCTCAACTCAAATGACTAGGTGGTTGAAGAGTGGAAGGGGGCTTCTCTTGAAGGTGATGGGGTGAACCAAAGCCATGGTTGGAAGGGGGAAAAAGTACGTAATAACCGCAGTCACAAATAGCTCCTCTTGAGCAGAATGGACCGGTTGTTGCCACATTCTTCCTCAATGCAGGATGAGCATCGTGTTACCTTTCTTGCGAGCATTCAACGACCCATTCCTTCCTCCATTGACTTCCCATTTGTGGCCGTGACGTCATGCTTCCCTTCGATGTGCCATCCTTAAACACTGTTCAGTGGAGGTAATCAATGGCTCCTCCTGTGTTGACACCTGTAGGCGACCGGCAGTCCGAACCAACCCCGCGGGACGGCGGACACATCTCCATGACAACGAACCCCTCCAGTCCCCATTCACTACCATGACCATTCACTGTGCAAGAAATTGTCTGCCCGTTTGTTTGCAAGAAAGGTAATAACTCAACTTTGGGTGGCCCAGTCCTTTCCTCTTCCGCATCACTCGTGTGCTGGACACCCCTTCAACTACCTCTAGGTATCGCGCTCCAGTATTCACTTCCACAACTCTCTGTCACGCAACGAAACAGCCATCCACGGAGTCCGCTGAGGTGAGATGTGAACTTCCTGTCTTGACTTGCATTTTTTTCAGTTTTTATTCCTTTATCGACTCGCACCAAAATCTACTTGCTGACATCTGAAATCCAGTCCAGATCTTGACAATCACCATGATCTCAGCACCGCAAATTATTTCGCTGTCTGAGCCCAGCCACCCGCTCAATCTCATACCGATTCCCGAGCTGGAGGCGGATATGTCAAACTTCAGGCAGTGGGACCACGCTGTGACGTTCCATCTACGGATTCACAATTTGTTGGATTATGTCACTCCTTTCGCCCTGAAGGAGCCGACTACGGAGGAAGAGCGCCATGCCCAGGAGACTCACTCCCTGCATGCCTATTCTCTCATCGCCTCGAAGATCGAGAGAATCGGCCCCGAGTTCGCAAAGTATTTCGGGAGACAGTTATTCACCGACCAGCCGCACTGCTTTCACTTCAACCCGGGAAAACTTTGGGCCGACATTCATCTGTTGGGCCGCAATACTCTTTTCCCTCGTACCTCGTAGGTTGGAAAAATCGCCAACCCAAAGTTACAGTAGGAGTACAGAGATACAGGAGTACACCATGGCGGGTTGCAATCCACAGAGCTTGCCTGAATCGACCAAGAGGACGCCAGCAGCTTTGATAATTCGGCTCAACAAGAACCGGGTGGCTTCTAATTCTCCGACGATGGAAATTCCAAAATCCAAGGGGACCGGAATACAATGCTTATTGGCTGAAGAAGACCTGTAGGAGGCAATGATGGCAAGGGTGGACTGTTACAGGTTTTGTGATGGCAGCAGAAATTTGGGCGAACATTGTAATCCGGTGAATTGGTATCCGTTTTATAAGGCGCTTTTTGTTAGACACCAGGCTGCTACAGCGAGGCTAGGTACAGTGGGTTTTGTTTCGACCTTCCAACAAGCATGTTCTTCCCAAGAAAAGGGTATGATAGGTCCTCCTGATATAAAGCCTCTCTTATCTACCTATGCGCGGACACTTGCCCATTACTGATTTGAACTATGACTTGTCCATTGCCTGCCTTTGTCCATGTGTGCCTAGTAAACTCCAGAAAAACGCCTACCATTTTCAGGCAGAGTTCTCTCCGCTGTTGCCAGAAGTGAACAGAAGAAAAGAACCAAAGCAACCCAGGTATATAACTGTCCGCTATCACAGCCCCAGGCAATTCATTAACCTACCTAGGTACGTACCCTTGACACTAGACCTTCCTCTATTGCCCATCACTTTTCACGATCGTCACGAACATCATGAACCCACAACCAGAGCCCTCAGCTATCCCCATCGTAAGCCTCCTGTTCTCCCTCCCAAAATCCTACAAGCATCAATCCCATCACTAACTCCCCAACCCACCCACAGAGCCTCCTCTCCCGAGCTCCATCACCCCCGGGCCTCACCGACACCTCCTGGACCCCAGGAACCCACGACCCAGAAGACAAAGCCCTCGCCCTAATCCCCATCCCTCCCCTGAATCGAGATCTCTCCAACTACCAACAATGGGAACACGCGCTCTGGTTCCACATCGTCTACCACCGCCTCGTCGACTTTCTGCTGCCAACAAGATACCCCAACCGAGAGTGTCCGGAGGCTGAAGATAAAGATAATTGGACACGCAGGGTTCTGCATACGTATGCGATTGTGTTTGCTAGTGTTGGAAGGGAGGTGTTGGAGGATATGGCGATGGATGGGGCGCTGGGGTTTGAGGTGTTTGGGGATAGGGATTATTGGGCGCCGGAGTTGATGGAGGGGGTGCAGAGGTATAAGGAGTTGGTTGAGGGGAGGATGGCGAGGGACTCAAATGAGGTGGATGAGGTGGATGAGATGGACGAGGCGGATGAGGAGGATAATGAGAATGATGAGGATGAGTTGCTTGTCCAGTTGAGGATGTGGACGTCGGTGGATGGGGTGTTTCAATGATTGAGGGTTGGAGGAGATAGGTCGGGAAGTTGGGGTTAATAAGGATAATGGGGAGTGTTTGACCTGTCGAGGCTTGATGTTGAAGTGCATCAGTGGTAGTCGATCTAGAATGGGAACTCGCTGCAACAGTAACACCAGTGCCTACTAGACTAGCATGTGATTCAGGCCGTGACGTGAGAGGTAACGGTTGTTATGCAGGGCGTTGATGCCTGAATCTTGATACTACATTTCGGAAGGCAGGCACGGCGGTGAGGCACCTGCACCAAGCCGCCTACAAACACCTGATATGGAGGTCTCCGACTGGATCTGCTTTCTTCCCCGCTCCAACCACGAATCTCTTCCTTTTAAACGCCCAGCGGCCACCTTTCACCAGTTTTCGTTCTCTCATTTCCCACCACGTCTTTCCAGTCTTTCACCTTCGCGACATCATTGGATATTGGATTCTTCGCCATCCTGACCTTGAGGTGGATCTTGTTCCAAGGCTGCAAAATCATCGACTGTGAGGTCTGGTAAGTAGGATGGCACATCTGAGGTGTTTTTCTGGTGAATACCTAGCAAGGGAGCCAAACATCACTAACCCAGGCGATCAGGAAAACATGAGCAACACGATAGAGCTTCCTACCGACTTGGACACCAGTTTGGCTCTCAAGTTCATTCCCATTATTGAGTTCCAGGAGAACTTTTCCAACTTCGAGGAATGGGAGCACTCTATTCGGTTCTGTCTCCGCTACCACGACCTTCTTGAATTCATTGAGGGCAACCAGGAAAGCCAACTTTCCGACGACGAGTATCGCCGGCGTCGCTGCTTTGTGTATGCCCTCATTTGGAAGTCGTCGGTAGGGATTTTTCGTCCGTCGCAACTCAGGAAAGATCTGGAAAAAGAGCTGTATCAGGATCGCGAACATGATCCCAGGCACCTTTGGAAAGTTCTTCATAACTGCTGCGATGCTATTCTAAATCTTCCAATTATAAGACGATGAAGGTCCAAGGTTATGAGTCCTAGCAGGATTCGTGTGAGGTTAGGCGGGAAAGGGTCCCTTCAGATTGCAGTTGGACTTGGGGTTAGGTAGATTGGAAGAAGTGGAACTCAATGCAGCGATTTGCAAAGAATAAGGTGTGAAAATCCAGGCGAGTGAGAATGCTCAATGCAACACAAGGGCAGGAGGTAACCTGGAGGCTAGAGCTTGCATGCTTACCTGAACCCGGACACTGCATACGATTGGGCTGCCGCGCATACGAACTAGACCTCAAGAGGAATCCAGGTCATGGTACCGAGCCCGCAAAGTTCCGCATTTAAACACCTTTCCCCGTTTACCTCCTCGTCCACCACAAACCCCTCTCTTTTCCACCTTTCACTGCGCCACAGCCCACTCAGCTTCTACTACTTGGCAATCTTCATCGCCTTATTAAGCCGCGCCGCCATTCTTGCCTAGAGTTCTTTTTCCATTCACTGTCGCGTAAGTCGCCGAGCACGCCCTTCATACAGATAAATCTAGCCGACATCTGGACGTTGTTAATGTCTAAAAGGCAACCTGGCAATTTACGTGTCAATATGAGCACCCTAGCCCAGCTGTCCGCCGGCCAGGAAGTAGACAGCACGATGGAATTAGCCCTCAAGTTCATTCCAATTATTGAGCTTCACGCCAACATCAGCAACTTCAACGAGTGGGAGCATTCCATCCGGTTCTATCTGGACTACCACGGTCTTTACAGTTACATTGACCCCAACTTTGAAATTCGATGCACTTCCGGTCCCATTCATCACCATCGTTTATTCGTATATTCCCTTATCTAGGGATCGACCAAGGAAACTTTGCGCCGGATGAGCAAACAAATGAGCAACGAACTATATAGAAACCACCAGCATAATCCGAAGCTACTTCTCGAGGCTCTCCACGACTACAGATCATTCTACGTCCTTCTAGCTACAGGATCTAAAGTAGAGGTACTGGAAGTATATGAAGACTGGAGATAAGAAGTAGGAGTTCTATAAGATAGAGGTATAAACCTCAAGGATGCAATTAACGAAATCATGTTTTCGGGTGTCAATGACAGAAACGAGAAGGAGAAGCGACAGTACCGCCAGCCTAGAGTGAAATATTGGACGGAAGTTTGGGTGAATAGAAGGATGGTGAATGGACAACACGGCACGGCCAGCATAAATACGTCCCCATATATATCTCCCCTACTGCAAACTTCTTCCTTTTCCGATTTCCACCTATCACTTCGTCGACGGCCATTCTCATCCTTTGAAGTCTTAAGGGATTTTCAGCACCGAACCGCCGTACGAGCCGCCTTTCCACCTTCAACTTGAAGAATAGCATCCTTCCGACTCGTAAAGTCGCTTACCGCGTAAGCAGTCTTCAGCACTCCTTATATCGGTTATCTCCACTACTAACCAACCCCAACCAAATTATCCCTCATCAGGCTAATAAAACGAAAAAAGAGCCCCACCTCTACGATAAATCCCACATGCGCAGCTACCATGGACACATCCGAGGCGCTCAAACTTGTCCCTGTTCCGGCACTCTCCAGGGACATGTCGAACTTTGGCGAATGGAAGTTTGCCGTCAGGTTCCATCTCAGCTACCACAATGTTGGCTGTTTCGTTGAAGAGAATGAGGACGGTCACCAACCTGATATTACTGCCAAGATCTGGAGAGTGGAGAAAGATATTGGCCCTGCCGCGCCAGTCATCTCCCAGGATGAGCGCCGTTGCCGTCGCTTACTCGCGTACTCCATCATCTGGTCGTCCGCCAAGGACCTTATTGGGTTCTTGAAGAGACGGTTCGGCAATAAGCTGCAGCGCGAGGTTGACCAATTTGATCCCAAGATACTGTGGCAGATAATTCTGATGTACCACAAGACTTGCGGCCCAGCGCAGTACGCGTAGAGGTAGTTTGCTTTCGTTTCGCAGACTTACCCGAACTCCAATCTGTGGAAGTGGAGGAATCACTTTCTTCGAGATACGAAGTGGCAGTTGGCATGTTTACCTCTACTAGCGCATTATGGTCACTGTCTTACCGGACTGGAGTTGGTCAACTCAGTGTTATGGTAGTGCAGAGTTTGGAGGAGTAACGAGGAACCAAGCGGGAACTTCCTTGGTTTCTTTGCTGCATGGAAAGAACGTTAGGTACCTCTACCTATCTTAAGGAAACTATCACGGAACACAGACATAAAGGACGGATTCACAACAAGACGGAGGAATGAGTTAAATGAAACGAATAGACTCAGCGTAGATACCTGTGATGAATGAAAGAGAAACAACTTCCCCCATCTTCCGCAGAATTTCCGTCTTTGATGTAATCGCAAGCGTGAAATCATATCTTTGATTCTGATCTTTTCCCGTTGCGACATTCGAAAGAAAGACCTGCTGTGACTGCCTAACCACCGCACTCTTGAAGGAGGGAACAAAGTGAATGGCAGAATTACAACGAAAACAATGGAAGGTCGCGACTGACAATTTTGGATGCCGGGGACCTGATACAAAGACACAGCCTCTTCCTTGCCCGCCTCCCCCCAACTAGAACCTTCCAGTCCTTTCCCTCAATTCTCACTCGTAAATACTAGGTCGTACTTGCCACTCTACATCTGTACTTGAATAGGTCACGACGGCCACACTAAGCGATACCGAGAGACAAAAGAGAAGCGTGCACTATTGCAAAACCGGCACGGGCCCAGCTTTCCAAGAAGAGAAGAACCTTCCCGCTCCCCAGGTCGCTGAAACCATATAATTCAATAGTACAGATCTTCCAGCGCCTCCAGTAGCCAATGTAATAGTGCACCGGGGCCGAAAACGCGTTGGTATTCTCGTAGGTTGCAGCTGGTTTCGGATTCGATCTAGGCTTGAGCAGCCGAGCTTTTTTTGCTTTTTTCCCGCTTTTTGTGTTCTTCACGTTTTCGACAGTCATTGACGCACTTGTTTGGAAATGAGCCGCACTTAAAGCTGTGCCACCCCTCTTCTCTGCTCATACAACTTTGTCTTTTACACCACCAACGGCGTCATGTCATGAGAGTCTTTATTGGTTCCATCTTGAAGGGTTTCAGTACAATAAGTTCGTTGTTCAGGTCACTCATGTACCTACAAACCTATGCTAAAATGGCGAGTGAATGGTAGAACGAAAGAATGGAAGGTGTTGGAAGTCTGTGCTCTGGATTCATGCCCCCTTCACTGAGCTTCTGGGCCACATTCACTGGCATTGTGTCCCCTCCTGATAATATTTCTAGGCAGCCCGGGCTTAGATTCATCCCTCCTTCTTCTTTACCTCTACAAAGTCAGGACTATTTCCTGTCGCCGCCTATCACCTCCGCAGTGAGAAGGACACAGTCGACCCTCGACTCTCAACTTCTACTCAACATTGTTGAAGTCCGCTACTACTCCATCGTTGCAGAACTTCTTTTCCCCGTAAGTCTGAACCCTCCCTTCATCATTTCCTTCCCTTTCTAACACCAAACCAAGTATCCATCGCCACCATTCACAATGGACCTAGACCTCCACGACCCCGACAACGACGCGCTCACGCGTTTCCCCATCCCTCAACTCGCCGAAGACCTCAGCAACTACTACGCCTGGCAACACGCGCTCTACTTTCATCTGCGCTACCACGGCGTCTTTTATTTCATCACCGGCCACGAACAAAGCCGCTGGGACTTGCGCTGGCAATGTGGTGACGACGACGACGGGAATCCGAATCCGCCCACCAAGCACGACCGCAAGAACTACCAGCGTCGCAACATGCATGCCTACGCGATCCTGTTTTCGAAAATCGGAAATATCGTCCCGGCACTCCTGGCGGCTGGTTGGGATGGCGATAAGGATTCGTTTGGGTTTCGGACGGATTTGTTGTGGAATCGAGTCCAGGAGCTGAGGCAGCGGGAGCAGCAGGACAGGGACAGGGACAGGGACAGGGCAGCTTCGCATCTGGGTACCAATCATTCCATGTCGTCGCGCGCGATCAGTTTGACGGATGATGAGTAGAAGCTATAAGGTAGCTGGGTTGGGGTAACGGGGTAACTGGGAGCGTGGTTACTACAAGCTAGGAGCGAAGGGGATGGATGCATTGCCCAGCAATGGACGACATCTAGCTACATCGTCGTTGTCCGAAGGGAGGGACTGTCACTTGTGGCGCTTGTAGGCGACTTTTGCTGGAGAAAAATTGCCTGGAGTCATCAACGAGCAAGATAGGTAGGTACCTAGCTGCCTCCTGCCCTTGGTACAGCGGAACATAAACCCAATCATAATTTTGTTGACTGCTCCTGTCCACTTCCCTCAGATCTGTTTGAAGCTGAATCCTATTGGGTCGTTGTCCTTTGCTACCTCCGACTGCTTCACTGATTTCCCTTTATCATCCCCAACAGTGCGACGTTTGCCTCGGCCCCTCATCCTCAAAGCCGTTTCCAGCGTCAACATCGGGCAACAGCCAACTGAACAAGCATGGGATAGGGAAACGAATAGCGACTCAATATAGCCAAGCATGAATAACGGAGGTATAGAGGAGGATGGAGACGTAGACGGCGAGTGTCTGGCTGTGTGGTTGGTGACGAGCAGACATGGGTTCCTGCTGGCTTCGATTCCAGTGGGTCAGCGCTGTTATGGACGATGCTGGATGGAGAGCCGGAGTACTTCGCTTGAGAAAGACACTCATTTTTGAACAAAGAAAATAATAATCTTGTATCTATTTGATCTTGCTGTACGAGGCCGGCCGTCTTCAGAAATACTTCTCTAGCCATGAATGTTCTGTCCAAATCGTTGAAGTATTGTTTTCGTCGAGTGACCTTTTATAAACAAAGTACTGCCGTCATAACATGCAGCGGGGCCTTAACTTTGTGTAGTCCACTAACGACCTGGACCAGCGCTACTCCGCTATCGATACTCGCACTAAAAGTGGCAGCGACAACGATAGCAGCCCATCACTTCACATATCCATCATTTTGCCATGGTGAATGAAGTTTGTTGCAGCTATCATTACTGGACGTAACATTTCCTCTATTATCAAATTTGATCACCATTTGCCGTACAGCTGGCAGATGAAAGAATGCCGGGCATTTCGCCAGCCACCAAGCGAAGTTTTTGGAGATTGTTCTTTACCCGTTCCGTTCTGAGATGTCGCGGCTGAAAATCATCTGACGGATTGCTACTTCGCGAGTTCCAGACCGATGTTACGCCTCTAGTCTACAAGACAACTGCTGCTGTCGCAGGATACGTCACCAACAAACGGTATCATGCCTCCGCACTAACATACGCTTCACTGTATTGTGAAGGAGCAAATTCTCTCTGACCATCATGTGCACCATTTGTCCCTCCTTCATTACGACCAAGCCCGCGTGGCTTAAACATGAGCAGTTTCTTCGCGCAATAGCAAAGATGCGATCCCTGCCTACTACGTCACAACTTGGTCCTCAGCATCCTCCAACATCTTCGCAAAGTCATCTCTGTCAAAAGCCTTCGAGGCATTCCACGTCTTGCTCCAATCGGTCAGCCATCTTCCCTGCACTTCCGTTAACCCCTGACTATAGACCCATTCGCGGTCATCATGGCCAAGGTCGTCCTCATCAATGTCTGCCTCCCTCATAGCCATAGGGTGAACCTCAATACCCAACGTGCGGAGACAACGGCGCATGAGGATGTACTCATGCTTCTCAAATTTGGCATCATCCCGAAGGTAACCGCAGTAGAACAAATGAAGCAGCATGCGGTCCTTGAGTGAATCAGAGCGCGTGCCAAACCTGATGTACCGGGTAATGTAATTCCACAACTCCTGGGGGTCGAAGTCGTAATCGTCATCGTAGGCTCTCAGACCAGCGCTGAGCAGCTGCGGCATGGCCCATTTAATTCTGCCGTTGAGTATGGTGAAAGCATGCGCGCGTCGTCTACGCCAAGAACCAGGAGACTCCACGTCGGAATTGGCCTGGCCCTTCTCGTGAGTTCCATCAATGAAGTCCAGCAGACCGTAATGGTTGAGATATAGTCGCACTATATACTTCCACTCCTCGACGTCACAGGGGCCGATAAGCTGTGGAATAGGTGGGAGAAACTCCAGATGCGGCGAGGTGTTACCACAAGGGCATCGGCCTGGAATAGGATTGGCGTCCCGTCAGTCCGCTGTCACTGTTGTGGAATGTGGAATAGACTTACTAGGTGAGGAACTGCCTGTCATTTGGTGATCCGACATCTTCGCGAAGGTCTATCGATGTGACTACGACAAGGCTTTCTGTGCTTCTCGAGTATACCTTTTGCGGAAAGGACGTCTGAATGTTGGGTGCTGATTGGGAAAGAATGGCCGTAATTGCGCCGTGAGGGGGTGACCGGACAGCAGGATCTGCGTGACAAAAAGCACACTCCGAGGTTCTCGTTTTCCGTTGTGGGAGAGGCAGGTATCGGAAGGCTAGAAGGCGAAAACGAAAAGGGCTCGAGTCTGGAGGTGTCCAACAGAAGAGGAGAAAACAGGAACTACGGTAGGCAGCCTAGTTAGGTATACCGGGAAGGGTGTACGTCAATGGGCAAGGCCAGTGAAGACGGCCTAGGGCACAGACTTCCAACAGCAGGTCTTGGTGCGTGCTGAGAGTGGGATTGAATAACCGAAGCCTTCGTATACCGTACTCACTTGCCGAGACCGCCGCGGATCGTGGACACGTAGCAGTCAAGATATCCGTTGATATTGTGTGAAAGAAAGCGATAACACAAGAGGAGGAAAAAACGGGAAGTGAAGGGAGGAGGGGCGCGGGGAAAAGGTGGCGAAGTGCGGCAAAAAAAAACAAATTAGGAGGGACGGTTAGGTGGAATTGTGGAAGGAGCGTTTGGCAAGTTACTGACCAGTTTGGAGGAAGGAGCAGCTATACGGTGTGAGGATAAGGTACTACTTCTACCTTGTAAAGTTACAGACCACTCACTCACCTCCCGTCTGAAAATGCAGCGCTATCTCACCTCAGGCAACACAGCAACCCAAGTCCTTGGTTCTCGCTATTGTTCCCACGAACACCATCAAAGGTCAATCCTCATATACCGATCAGTCGGTAAATGTCCCCCCACATAAACCGAACGCAGCTTCGGCGGTGCCCCCAGTTCTGTCAGATTATGTGTGAGTACCGCCCGATAACCGTGAAGATCCCGCACAGCCGGATACACACCGTCCCTCGCAGCACGCGGGTATCGATCCACGTGCTGCTGACGGGTGTAGACGAACATGTCTGACAGCTTCAGATATCTCAAGTCTTTCAGCTGTGGAAGACACGACAGCTTTTGATCTTGCCCGAACATCTTGACCCAGGCTGCATCGTCGGTTTTCCGAGATGCCATCATCTAACACCACTCAAAGTGCTGGAGCGTTTCTTGGTGCGCGAGCAGGATGGTGTTGATGTTGTGACTTTGGCTGAACAAGCCCCATCCTTGGGCATTGAAAAGTCTCACGCTCAATCTATCGACGTCGAGTCCGCTGTAGAGTCGGAGCTTCCGAAGACGCTTGGTAGGCTGGAGCCATATGTAGAGTTCCTGTTCATGTGGCTCGACTCCTCGACAGCGCCTGGTTTCAGGTGCTGGGGCAAGAGGTCGCTGAACCAGGTACATGTGGAAACGACACGAGGTTACTGGAAGCAAACAGCAGAGATAAAGTAAGGCAAATCAAGAGCACATTAGCTGAACAACAGCCCAAAGGTTGGCATGGTAAGTTGACGCCACGAGCCTGGAGAACATTGGTGTTGCGATTGTCAGCATTTGACGTTTTTGCTCCTGGGCTGGCCTGGTAGTGCCCACGACAGTATGGGGAAAAAATGAGACATGGTGCCATTGTAAGAAGAATGCGCCAAGTAACGGAAGTGAAGCAAATTGAGGTAGGTATCAAGAACAAAACTGCACTTTGGGAATGAACGCTCAGCTATTGAGTGTCGAGTGCGTGATGAATGTTGGAAGAAGAAATGGAAGAGGACGAGACGGACGGAGAGGGCTGCGCAGAAATGGTCTGTGCTCAACTGCTTGTTTCCCAAATCCACACAAGGTTAGGGTTGTGCTGGCACCCCTGACACTAAAACCAACTTGGGTTCCAGGGCTCGGCTCTCGGATGAGGACCTTGCGACAGAAGAAAGGCAACCCCGGCACCGAATTCTGATCTGAGAACCTTATTTGTTGTTGCTCAAGAGCAACTTGACAGCAAATGGTCATCTCATGCAAATAGCACCATCCGATGTGTAGATCGTTTTGTTTATCAGAAAGTAAACAATGAGCTTCTGGCAGGCAACAAGCCAGTCCGCGCTATCCGATGCAAGAATGGCATCTGGCTCCACACGAACCACAAATTTCGAGGGGCCCTTGTGTTTGGCGAACAACGAGTTTAGCCAACCGTGGGCTGATATCCAACGAATGTACTTTTCGTGTCGTTTGCTCGTTCGTTGTTTCGTCGCTTCAGTTCGTCGCTTCCTTGTACGGTTGTAGCCGGACGTTTTACATTTTGTTCCCCGGACCGTTCAAAGTAGTGAACTGGACTGTCGCCCGCCTTTTCAGTTTTCCTCGCGGGGCCCCATTCGCTTTTCGTCCTTGTCGACCTTTTCTCCAAGGTCCCTTTTTTGCAGGGTACATACATCTGTTTACCTCGTCTACCTTGCCCCTCCCCCTTTTTCTTCAAGGACCCTACCTTGGTCTTCTTGATTGCTAGTACATCGTCCTTTGTTCGGCGCTTTCAACCTCTCGACTTGCGCATCACATACATCCAAGCCAACCTGCATCGCGCCGCATGAGCAATCGCAACCGTTGAACGGAAAACCCCAACAACGCGCCGCGCCCAGCCGTTCTTCCCGTTTGCGCTTTGCGCACTCAAACCCGGGACACCCCTCCCCGACAATCACCGGCGCCGGGCCCGAACCAAGACCGAAACGAGAACAAGCGATCCGCAACCAAGACAATGGAACACATTGTCTTCGCCCACGACCTCACCAGGGCCGATCGCGTGGTCTTGGAGACGTTGGCGACCGATTACAGCGACCACTTGAAGGCGAAGGAGAAGGGCAATTCGGATTCAGCATATGCGTCGGCGAGCGATACGGAGACAGCAGGGACAGAAGAGACAGATGCAAATACGAAGGGCGGTGTAAACAAGGATGCTGGAGGTTATCAAAAAGCTTCAGGTACGTGTGTGTTTGTCTGTCCAGCGCCGTGTTTCTTTCGCTTGAAGTTGCAGTCCACACAATTTGGAGTCGCAGTGCGGCGAACATCGTGTCTTTTATTCGTCGCATCGCATCGCGGTTCGGAACGGTCAACGAATTGGTTGTTCAGATGAACCCCTGATCTTATCGTTATCGGACGGTGCGGGTTCCTGTCTCGGCTGTGACATCATGTCGTTGCCAAGACTGCAGGGTCCAGAGGTTCTGGACCGCTGGCGGCCGGCAATTCCCGCTCCAGTTGCACCGACACCCCAACTGCCCGCCGTGGTCCGGGTGTGGTTGACCAACCACGCTTCACCCACCTGACCATCTTCACAATTTCACATGAAGCCATCACTGACAATTGCTACTCACAGCCACCCGCAACGAAGCAGCCGTCACCCATCTCTCCGCCCTCAACGACCCCAAATCCTCCTCCTTCGAACCCTCCATTACCAACTTCTTCGATCTCGCCGACCTGCAATCCTTCCAATGGCTCCCTCCCTCCCTCCTCTCCGCCTACCAACAATGGGCCACCTCCCTCATCCGCGTACCAACCGACATTTTGATGATCACCCACCTCCTCATCTACTTCTCCACCACGGTACCCTCCGCCATGTATCTCCTCTTTGTCCGCTTCTCCTGGCCGCACGCCATCCTCCACGCCATCCTCAACGGCTGGTACGTGGGCACCTACACGCTGATGATGCACCAGCACATCCACATGCGTGGCATCCTAACCAAGGACAAATGGTGGACGAGGGTGTTTGACGCCGTGTTTCCCTACGTCTTGGATCCCCTGATGGGCCACACCTGGAACTCGTACTACTACCACCACGTCAAGCACCACCACGTCGAAGGCAACGGGCCGGATGATTTGTCTTCGACGATTCGGTACCAGCGCGATGAGTTCAGCGAGTTTGCCAAGTACGTCGGCCGGTTCTACTTTTTGGTGTGGTTAGACTTGCCGCTGTATTTTGCGCGCAAGGGACGGTATGTGCAGGCGGCCAAGGCGGCGTTTTGGGAGTATTCTAGCTATGCTATGTACGTCGCCATGTGGAACTTGGCGCCCGGAGGAGGGAAGGCGGTGTTTTGGACGATGGTGTTGCCGTTGATGGTGCTGAGGGTGGCGTTGATGGTGGGCAATTGGGGACAACATGCGTTTGTGGATGATGAGGAGCCGGAGAGCGATTACAGGAGTTCGGTGACGTTGGTGGATGTTGCTGTACGTCTTTCCCGCCCTCCCCCCCTCCCTGTTCTCTGTTGCGTACCTGATACTGACAAGCACAACAGTCCAACCGCCACTGCTACAACGACGGCTACCACACTTCTCACCACCTCAACCCCCTGCGCCACTGGCGCGAACACCCCGTGGCTTTCCTCAAGGGCAAGGAAACCTACGCGGCCAACAATGCGCTGGTTTTCCATAACATCGATTACATTATGATTACCGTTAGGTTGATCATGAAGGATTACATGACGCTGGCCAAGTGCATGGTGCCGATTGGCGAGTTCCAGATGAACATGACGCTCGAGGAGAGGGCGGCGTATCTGCGGAGGCATACGAGGAGGTTTACTGAGGAGGAGATCAAGGTCAAGTTTGGAAAGAAGGCCAATTAAGGGGACTTTGAGTGCGAAGAAATGAGGTGATGGATCTAATGGGATGATGAGTGGTTTTGGTTGATTTGGGATAAATGGATCAGGATGATGATCGTGGTGCTGGATATTCATCTGGATCGTCCTGAGCGGGATATTTTAGCCCGAAAACCATCTAGACTACCTCTAGAATTGGGAGGTTGGGTCTCACGCCATAAAGAGCATCAAGGCTTGTATAGAGAAAGCGGAGTACTTCAGCGCAATAGACAGATAGATATGCCTTTCTGTTTTTGCTGGAATATCAGCACATTCCCGTCGTCGGGTGTCTTACTGGCAATAGCTGGAAGGATGCGTCCCACGTCAGGTATCAAGAAACCGTAGAAACTTGCCACCTCCCGCCTACCCGCTGGAAGGGGCAGGTGCATGTGGGAAGTGGGCCGAGGAGTGATGAAAGCCAGCCAGCAGACACCTATGCATCAGGGTAAACATATAGCCTGTCGATTAAGAATAAACAACTTGAAGATTTGACGATGGGACACGCGTTCACGAACATGATCACTTGGCTAAATCTCCAAAGCTGAATGAGTGATATGAAGACCTTAACAAAACAGGGGCAACATTTGCATCAAACAAGATAGCAGGGTAACTTCAGCGGGCTGTCATTCTCGCCGGTCGTCGACGGTGCTGGGATGCGGAGTGCCTGTTGCCAAGTCGGCATTGAACGGAAAAGTGGACAAGGAAGGGGACAAAGTGAAGACGATGGAAGTTGTGAGAGGTAGAACGAGAGTGAAAATGCGCAAGGAAGTCATTCCTGGCTTGAGGTGAAACCACAATGAGTGTTATTGCACTATTAGCTTCCCTCAACACCTCGCAGGTGCCCGGTCAGGAAAGACAGCATGCAACAACACCCACGTTTCCTTCATTCTCATCAACATTCTTCTTTCGCAGTGTGTAGATAACGATATTTACGATGTCCCCAGTCAACATCACGCGCCTGTTTGATTAGTTTCAATTTTGAACCTAGCCTAGGTACCCTCCCTATATACCCGCTGCGATAGGTACATGTACTCACCAACATGAAGGAACCATCGATCAAATGCCACCAGGGTCCGGCTTCGCCTTGAATCAATCTGTCGAATGAATAAGAAATCCAAAACCCCGCTATACCTTTACTTCCGCTTTCCAGAGTCGTCCTGCGGCGCAAAGTTGGCCGGGGGTAGCAAGTTGCCCTGTGGTGGTTGCCCACCAAAGTTAGCTCCGTATTGCTGGGACGAATTCATGGCGGCATATCCCATCGGTGACCCCTGCGCTCCAAGCATTGTGAGATAGGTGGTTGCATGGGCTTGCTGAGGTTGGGAGCTATAAAACCCGTTGCTCTCCTGATGCTGGGAAAAGGGTGGAAAACCAGGATTCATCAAAGGCATTGCACCAGGCTGCTGCGTACCTACTACGTTCGGCGACGGCTTCATCTGCCCGAACACCATACCGCCAAAATTTGGATGCTGTGGTGGCTGTTGCCCCGTTTGCAGATGTATGGCCTCGTCGACGCGGTACTTATCGATGCGGTAGCCTGACCTCTCGGCCTTGGCTGAGTCGGTCTCGGACTTGATGCTCCAGAGATAGTGGTTGAACTCGTTGGATACCTTGGCCACGCGATCAAAATGCTCTCTCTCAATCTTGATCCTGCCCCCGGTGGACTTGTATCCTGCAAGCGCGACGACGCTCTGAAAGGCGTTTTGGATCTGGCGGCCATTCCAGACCGGGCCGATCTTGGAGTTCACGGCGCTTTGTTTCTCGAACAATGTCTCGGCGTAGGAGAGAATGTCCTCAACGTCCACGTCGACCAAGTTGCTATCGACGAGCTTGCGAAGATGGGTCTTCCAAATCTTCTCGGCATACTTCCACTCTAGCGGTGGATAGTACAGCGGCAAGTGGATGCGCAACTTGAAGGCCTCGTCAAACACACCAACCCGGTTGGTGGTCAGGAAGAGGATTCCCTCATAATATTCGAGAACCCGGAGAAAAACTGCAGCGATGGCCTGTCAGTAATGGACCCAGGTCGAGGCTCTCCTCTCTTCGTTCAGGACTGAGGTCTTACCAGAGACCAAAGCGTTTCGAGCAATGTCCTGCGCTATCCTCGGAGCCAAGAATACGTCGGCCTCGTCAAGAAGGAGAACACAGTTCCATAGCTGGGCAAGCTGGAATGCCTGTTCTAGCTTCTTTTCAACTTCTCGTGGAGAAGTACCAAGGTCACCTAGGTATGCCGAGTTAGCTCCTAGTCGTTGTTTCGGTTGCTTCAAAAGTACCTCTACTGACCGCAAGTGATGGGAAGCAGGGGTCGATTATTTGCTTCGGCAGCGCATTCTAGATAACATGTGTTAGCAATTTCTGGATAAGCCCAAGGCGGACGGCTCTGCGCCGTGATGGATACCACTTACGAGCTGTTGATGTCTTTCCCACGCCGGGCACTCCATGTAAGAGGATCGTGAGTCCCTTTCCTGCCATCCATTAGCCAGCGGACCACAAGCAACGGCAGCAACAAGTTATTGCTACCCAGTTGGTAATGCACTTACCCTTGGCTCTTACAAGATCAAAATGCAAGCTGTGGGGTCCCCTGTGGTCGGAGTGAGACTCAATGAGGGACTGTACCAAGCGCTTATGGCCGTCGGGTAGCTGTAAGTCGTTCCAGGGCTCCCGTCGCTGATTCTTTTCCTTCATCATCTCTTCTCCGTCGTTATCCTTGCCAATCCGAAGGCAGGCTGTGTTGTCAATGGACTCGTCGTCAGCGACAGGTGAGGCTAGGTAGGCAGGCCATACAGCCCCAAGACAAGTCGGTGGAAGGCAAGCTTACCCCATTTCCTCGTACGGAAAACAAACGCAAATACTCGGGCCGGCAGAAGCAGCAGATCCCCATCTTCAGTCGGATCGGTACGCTCCTTGTCCCATCTCTGGCACTTTGCCCAATCCTCATGAATCACTTGCTCTGAAAGCTTGGTATCCCAAACCGTGTCAATGTCGATGCCAAAGTCTATCTCGCCGGTCGGGGCCTTGTAGAGGTCAAGCTCGTCCAAGCCAGGTCGCCATCCCGGCATCTCCTGCAAGGCTCGTTCAAAGTCGACCATCACCTCGCTCTCAATCCATTCTGCGTAACGCGTGGCGTTATCAGGCACATCGGCATCCTTCTCGTGGAGCTTGGCACCGTTGGGTCGCAGGACCTGGTTGCGTCCCGTATATTGCATGTGGCTAGGCCGGGTGCATTTGACAAAGAGCTTGCCGCGCTCTACGAGAGCCGACCGATCAACCAACTGTTCTCTCTCGGCCACATGAATCGGCACAACGGGAAGCGACATGATGGGCAAGCGGCCTTCAAAAGGGTCGATCTGAATTCTGTGATAGGTCTGGACGTAGCGATTGTCGTCGTGGTCGAAATGGAAGCAATCAATGACAAAGGTGTCTACCGAGTGAGGCGAGTCGCTTCTGCGGCCGCTCGATAGCGTCGTAGGCTCGTAAGTCGAGCCTCTTTTGCCCCCGGTACGCTGGATGACTTTCCAGATCTTCTGTGGGATTTCCTTGTCTCGAACGTAAATGAGAGATCGGGCAGGAAAGCAAAACCACAGGTCCGAGAAGTGCACTTGGTCAGCGTGGGGAATGATGGCAAGCGATGGCGTGATATAAAAGTCCATCAACCAGACCAATGCGCCCAGGTCCTCAATCAGCGCCGTGAGCTGGACCTCGCTGAGCTGATGCGGATCAACAACATTTGGGTTCAGCTCATCCACGGGCATGGCTGCATTCCATGCTTGGTAATAGTCGTTTTCGCTCTTGGTAGGAAACCGCTCAGCCTGAACCTGTTTCAGGTCGGCCAATCCTTCCCGGATATCTGAATCATTTTCAACAAGAAATTTGAAGGGCCTCGGAATGATAAAAGGCGTTCTCTTAGAGCTGCTCCAATTTAAGGCTGTATCGTGAATGTTGTAGTTCAGGAAAATTGAAAGGCTAATGGAGCGGATGCGAATGCGATCAGGAAGCTCTCCTAACGGGAAACTCGGCAGTGCCCAAGGGTCTTTGTGCTTCTTGGTCGGGACAGCTTCGGGGCTTTTCAGTTTACCTCTAACCTTGACGGCGCCAGGAACTAGCTCCTTTCGTAGCGCAGGGGTGACTTCCTGCATGAGTCGCTTCCGTTGAGGCTGAGGATTCAGATCATCGGCAGTTGGTTGATGGCTTGGAATCTGGATTGCGGCATATTTGCCTAGTGAGGGTGCAAGACTACTAGCCTCCTTCCAAGGTACGACTTCGATCTCCCCTGTGGAAACACCAAGGCCGGAAGCTTCCGAGTCTCTGCCGGACCGCCCAGTCTCTTCCTTGTCAATGTCTGAACTGGTTTCGCCCATCAGGTTCGCTCGTAGACGCGCAAACTTCCTCAGCTCGGACCGGAGAGAGCGCCCAAGGGCATTGATGTCGTATCCAACCTCGCCGTCCACCTCGACATCCTCAATCAGAGAACTGAGATCTTGGCCCAGGCTGGCTACCTTCCGAATAATCTCGGCCGCATGTTCGAGCTCCTGGTCTTTGGCTGTAACTCGAGGCATTTCCCCGGACGTGTCTTGCTGGTTCAATGGGGTAGACATCTGCTGGTCCTCGGAGTAAGCCTCCTGTTGCTTTCTAAAGACATCCAGTTAGGTATGTTGGACCAGGAGGACGAAAAAGGTGTTGATTCTGGTAGTAGGAACAGGGAAGAAGGGAAAAAGCAGGGCAGCCTAAATACCTACCCAGGACGGGAGGGCCGGTGAATGGAAGCACAGTGAATGGAAGCACAGTGAATGGGCGCCAAGAGGCACGACCGTCCAACAACGGGAAGTCACCAATTCACATTGAGGTCCAATATTCCATGCACAGATTATACAATAACACCCACTCCCCGCTTCATCTCCTCAGCTTTCTTCGCCGCTTGTACTACCTCGACGCCTTCATATGCACGGAATTCACCACGGCATCCAACCACAATGCCGTATGAAGCAGGCTGGTGTATATCCATGTACACAGCGCAACCACACAGCCGCTGCAGGCAGAATGATCCTTCACAGAAGGGCGTGATTGGCGAGTCCCCTCCCGCGTGCATTGCATAAGGTATACTTCTAGGTCCTATCGTCGTAATCACAATTTCCAGAAGCCCAAGGACCTGTGGAGGAAATCTCCTCTCATCACTCTCAGCAACAAGTCGATTCTTGTCCAAGAAACCCAAAGAGATTAACCTGAAGTCTTCCGGCACCGGCACGCTTTGGCGATCATGGACCACAGAGACCTGACACCCGTTTTGCAATATCTGGCAGCGGGCCAGGCTGGCAAGTTTGACGACAGCTGGGCAAATCCCGATCCAGCAACGCTTGAAATGGCAGAATCACTGTACATTGCGCATCATGGCCGGCTCCCCAGTCCGGCCCCGGTGGCACCGAAGCAACTTGAGCCGTCCGAAAAGTGAGAGTTCCCTTGCTGTTATCAGGAGTGGACATGCAAGCGACTGACGACGAGCGTTCAAAGGTTTCGAGTTTACGTTGTAAACTTTACGGAATGTATGCATCATTTCTTGGAGGTCACTGGCGACAAGAGCGCGACCGAGGCCTTCAGCTGCAAGTTCTGGGATGGCGTGGAGGACGAAGTGGCAAAGGCAATGGAAGCCTTCGAAGGCCACGACAAGAGACGCCGCAGTTGGCGGAAACCCTTTGAAGCAGCGGATAGACTTGGCGGTATTGCTGCCCGCCGCATCGAATTCCTGGTCCAACTAATACCGGACGGTGAGTACACTGGTCTGCTAGCCGGCGGTCTGAGACTATTGTGCAATGTGAGGCAGTTCCCTTCCCTTTTTCTCCAAAGGTTGTACTTACAGCCAATGTCTTGACGGCAAAGCGCAAAAAGGAGGTCCGCGAGACCATCTTGCAGATGCTGGACAGTTTGGGCGACACTGTCTCGCATAGCAAGGCACAGATCAAGCTTTACAGCGACGACCCGGATTTGAAAGAGAAGTCGGAGGACCTCTATATGGCCATTCTGGACTTTGTTGCCTACGTCGTCTCTTATCTGAATCGACCAAGTGCTAGTATGTTCCACTTTCCCAGGTTCCCTTTCACCCACCCCTTAGGTAGCCCTTCAATCCCGCAGTCACACCAGCCTGGAAGTTTTGATAGCCGCAGTCCCGAGCACATACTGATATCCCATTTAGTTGAGTCCTTCAAGGCCTTCTTTCAGCAAGCAGACTATGGGTCGAAGCTAGATGATGCCGTTGACAAGGTGAAGAAGGCCTCAGCATCGTTCGAGGGCTCTGTGTCAATCTGCTTCCAGACGCGCGTTGAGGAAATTGACAAGAACGTCCGGGCTCTAGTATCGCCAATCATGGCTTTATACTTCACCCTCGGGGGACTTGTGAGAGACTTTCCCGGTGAGTTCATCCAAAACACACAACATTCGGGAGAAAATTCTGCCAGAAAGCTGACCTTACCTGCCGGAAAAGCCCAGATGGAACAGCTTGTAAGAAAAGAGATGCAGAACGCGGCCATGTTTCAACCAACCATGCAGTTCATACAGTATGTGGGACCAATGCAGCCCCAAATGCCACCCCCTGGGTTCAACGCTTCTCAGTTGTGGCCGCTTCTCTGCACCAACTGGAACGGCGGCAGCCCAACCGTGGCGGAGGATTTACTGGCCATTTCCAAGGCGGACGTCCAGCTAGCCCTGAGATCGCCGCCGTCGTCCATGGGTCAGAACCAGATCGGGTATCTCCTGATTGAGGATGCATTCGTGGTCTGGCTCAAGTCTCTTGAGTCACAGATCCTTGTCCTCCACGACGAGCAGTCGCTAGAAGGTAGCTCGTCGCTCTCCACCCTCAGCTACCTCTGCGCCTTGATCACCGAGATGATGTCCGCCCCTGGCATGATCCGGCTCTGCTTCTTCTGCGGCCTGCACTCTGCGGACGGCGACGTATTGGGAGGCGGCTACGGACTGATGCGCAGTCTGACGCTGCAACTCCTGCAACCATTTGGGAACGCCAACCTTTCCCCGACCGGCAACGACCTGAATCTGCTCGCTCAAGGGCTCATGATGAACGATTTATCGACGACTTGCTCCGTCTTCAACATGCTTTTGCACAACGTACCCGCCGGTGTTGTATATATCTTGGTAGATGGCGCATTCTGGTATGCATCGGGGTCACATGGCGATGAAATGGCGGCTGTGATGGCGTTCCTGAACCGACTCGTCCTCGAGTCGCGAGCTAATGCTAACAGAGGATTGGTGCTCAAGATTCTTGTCACGAATCCCACTCCTTCGCAGCGGAACGGTTGGGATATATAGGCGGCCGTCGTACACCTTGAATAATCGTTGTTCGAGGATGGCCATGAAGTAGATGTTCAGCGTATGATGGTTGGCTTCTAAATAATGAGGGTTCATTTTCTTTCTCCTTGAATATTGTACTCAACACAGATGTTCGCGTGGAGTATGAGGTACAGGCTTATATCCTCACCATCGCCTATATTTCCAGCGGCTGGGCATCGCCGAGGTGTTCTTCGGGAAATGTGCCGAAGAGAATTGCGAGTGCGGTAGCAATAGCGAAGGTTGTTACCAGCTATAAGACCGATGTAGAGGAATCGAGCCCGACTTTCTCCAAGTATGGCTCGAACCCGCAAAGCGGCTGAGAAAGTTTCGACTTTACTCCAGCTTTGATCTCGAAGGACTTGCTAGTGGTCATACCTCTAGAGAAGGAGGAGACTCTCTGGGATTCAACATAAATACCATCCTGCTTGGTCACCAGGACACGCTCGAGCATTTCGAATGGTGCCAGATGGTCAGCCCGAGAATACCTACCGACGAGACAAACTGGACGAAAATGTTTGGGGAGGAGGAGCAAAAATTCACGTGTCTTCCGCACCTGAAGGAGTTGGTGTATTTGAAACTTTCGGATACGTTTCTTTATACTCGTCAGCAGTTGATTAGTCGAGGAACTTTGGGCGGCGCTGGCCCTGTTACTACTGTGAGACCGGGACACCCTCAGCAGCCACCGCCGGTTGCGCCAATACCCGCACCTATTCCAATACAAAGACCTAGTGTGCCTACTGCCGCTATTAATCCGAGGCGTTTGATGGAGATGAATATTCGGAGTGTAGTCGCACACAATATTTCCGAGCTGGGAACGCCGCCGAAGTTGAGGTCGGTTGACGTGGTGGTAGGAAATTTGCCGACGGACAGGTGTTTGACGATTGAGCTTTGATGGTAGGTAGGTAGGATGTTCTTTGCCCCTTTCCTCCCTAAACCTGCCTGCTGAAACATGTAGGGAAGAATGGAATTGTCACACATGACCATGTCTCGTTCAAGTCCTTCCAAATCATGAACTTATTACCGTTGTATTTTTGGCTTTCCTATAACTTTTGAATGACTGGAACCGCCCTTTTTCTTTTCTCTTTCTCTTTCCCGACCGGCCCCGTCCGCCGAACTTTTTGTTTTCTTTGCTCAAACATCCGTTTCGCCATCGCTGCCATCGTCCGCCAGGATCATGCATCCATGGATGTTGCCCCGTCCCGTTCGACTCCGATGGACCCATGATTTAGCACCTATTCATCATTCATATCTCTCATTTCTTTTGCTCTGAAGCCTCAAGCCTCAAGCCTCAACCCCTAACCCTAGCAACAACCACACTATTCACCACATCCGTAAACGGATGCACCACTGCACAACACTCCAATACCCCCAACAGCCTCTCCGTCGTGACGTTCACCTCCGGGTACAAGCAGGTTCTCAGCCCCCACGCGCTCCTCACCACTAGCAGCGCACCAGGCCTCATGGTCCTGACGACCTTCAAGAAAATCTCCTCCTTATCTTCCTGCGACAGCCCCACGAGCGCAGCAATGTAGACGACGTCTGAGTCTTCCAGACTAATAGACGAAGAACCCGCCTCGCCGCAAAGGAACTTCATCCCTTCGCCCCAGGGGCCCAACGCACCGTTTAGTTGCGAGGAGACGTCGATAGCTGTGGGGGACATGTCGATGTTGCAGATTATTGGGATCGTGTCGTTGGGACTAGAAGTCTTGCGGATTTCGTCAAGGAGACACCACGAAGTAAGCGGAAGTGGACCGGAGCCGATGAAGGTGATTTTCTTGAGGGGTGCGGTATTGTTGGGAGGTAAAGCGGCGCGAATGGCGGAAAGTTCGAGGCGCGCGAGGTCAATGTAGTTTTGGAAATAAGGAAAGTCAGTTTGGAGAGCCTTGAGGACGGTTTCGTGGCCTTGGTGGGCGGCGAGGGCGAGGGTGTGTTCGGCCCAGTGGGTTTCCAGACAAGATTCGGCTTCGGAGCAGATGGTGCGTAGCGAGGAGAGGATTTGTTGGAGGCCGGGGAAGTTGAGGATCTGGAGATGTTAGTCTACAACTTGCTTTGGTGATTTCGGGGGAAACGTACCTGCTGGATTACGCTTGGAGGGTGGATCTGGACGCATGTGTGGACGAGGTTCCCCAGTAAGCGGTTGATTTCTTCTCCTGGTTGGTAGGTCGGTAGCTTCTTGAGTTGCTTGTGTGTATCGAGAATGCTTAGAGCGATCATTTGCGCCTTGGTGATGTTTGCGCTACCCATGGTGTCTAGTTTTTCGGCAAGGATATCCGGGTTCGTGTTGTTGTCGAGGTAGTGAGAGGACTGGTGGTTCCTTGGAGAACCAAGACCGAGAACTGAGAGAAGGGCAGGCATTTTAAGGAAGGCTTTTTCGAAGGAACACTTCGCTGGGATGGTTTTACGGCTGCCTTGAGGTAATGGTTACGACGACTGCGCTGGTGAAGGTCGATGAGCCACGGCCAGCGAGGTTCTCGTTCCGTTTTGTTTAGGCACAACGGCTATGGGACGATGCGCGCAAGGCTGAAATCGAGTCGTTCTGTTGACACCGCCTCGTGTGCTGCTGAGAAGGGACAGATGAGCGGCTGTAGGGCTGGGCTGGATGGGATCAGACGGAAGCGTAAAGCGAAGGGCATCACAAAGTTGTGAGGGTCCCCTCCAGCTTCTGTAAAGAGGGAGGGGATCCGGCTCAGTAAAGTAGGGGACCAGCTGGTCGGACAGATGGACCAAGTAGTGGAAATCCATTTGCAAAACATGCCCCTGGGATTAGTACGACGGTGGAAAATGGCAACCCACCTCAATTGCGGGAAATACCCAAGTCTACCCGACCCTGCGGTTACCCACAGAAATAAACTCCGAAGCGATGAAAGGCGACGGAGTGGACAGTTTGACAAGGGCATCACCAATGTCGAGAGATCGTGAGAACCTTGATGGTCCGTGGAAATGTTACCCAACCAAACAATCTGCCAGTAGCCTACATACTTGCAACCATCCGTTGCTCAATTGGTGCCTGACCAATTCAGGTTTCTTATTGGAAGCTGTAGCCGTTCCATTGCGCCGTGCCGAGGGTGAGCCACTTTCAATCGTCAGATCAGCATTTAGCATTCGTCAAAGTGGAATAGTTGGGACAACGTTTACTCCACGGCGCATCCGCATCGAGCGGGCGTAAGATCTAAGTGTATGGCATTTGTAACGAGAAATGTATATGGAGAGTTTGGGGTTGTGTCGGATTGATTGCTTGTCCAAGACTGAAGAGTCATCTTACTTTCAATGGACGGGATGCGAACAAATTGCGGCGTGGAAGAATTTGTTTGTGCAGAGGAAAAAAGGGAAAGGGAAAGGACGGGGGAGCCAGGGGAATTGGCCATCAAGGTCCTCACGGTTGACGAGAGGGGAAGACGCAAGGGGCCCACATTCGCCCAGAAATGGCCAAGCTGATTGGTCTGTGGGTTTCCTGTGGGATAGCGCCTGCCAAGCCATCTTATCAGATTTATCGCTAAACTGCTGGGCCATCAAGGTTCTCATTCTGTGCCGCTGTTTGTCCTCTCCTTCTCTCTTCTTTCCTTGGCCTTCCACTCACTCTGCGACACTCGGAGTACAACACGACAAGACATTTTACGATACGCTACAACGAAGTGAGACATGTCGACCGACACTTGTTCTTTTCCATGGTTACACTCATAAATAAAGAAGAGGTCACCAGTGTGTTACTCGGAGATGCCTTGCCCGTCGCCTCTCCTGGTATCGAGTCATGTTCGACCAGTGGAAGACAAGAGTCACCAGAATGTCAAGCTGGACAGCCATTATTGGCTACCGCTGTCGCTGGTTTTCATTGCACGACAGCTCATCATTGTATTCCACCGCCCGAACTGAGATCGAGACCCGGAAGAAATGAGGTCAACATTTTATGAGGTACCAAGTATCCAATCTCCAGCCTCGACAGCGTCATGATTACCCGGGAGATCGCCCAACGTTATTGTCCGATCCAAATGTCCAAGGATCATGATGTTAAAAGGGGGCTCTGTACCGGGCACCTCACCAATTATAATCTGAGGTGGACGGAAAGTGATGGTCTCCTCCCTTGGCCCTCAGGGTTCATAAATACCTCTACCTAGGTATCACTACTCACTGGAAGCTGTTATCAGTCGGTGTCTTGCGTCACCGACTAATCTCCTTCCCGCTTCTCCTGTCCCGTCGTCTGTTTGATGCCGTTTTATCAAGCCCCTCCACTCGTCACTTTATTTCACCCAAAATACTCCGTCATCTGCGCATTCGTTTGCTCCGATTTATTTTGGTTCTTGACACTCAAATACCCACCGCTTTAAGTGAAACTACCCCTCGCTCTGCTTCTTCAAGCTTGCTATTGTTTCTCTCCTTTTCTCATACAACTCACCCAGCAGCCATTGTGCAATCATTCAAGCACATCGGCACACATCGGTAAACAAGAACCAACGGGCTTGCGCGTACTTCCACTCCAACAACAACATCTTTGATCCTCTCACACAACCTGACACCACTCTCATCGAGCGCGCCCTGTTGATCACGTCAACAACGGCGACATCATGGCTCAGATCGGCGAGCTTCTGGGTTTGGCGCCCTTCGGTTTCGCTCCCGTCACTTCATCTTCTCCTATGAACAACCAGAGTGGTTCGTCTACCTTCTTCACCACTAGCTATCCATCCTTTCCCCTCTCACTATTTCTTTGTACTATGTGTGGTCATCATGACCGAGAAACCAACGACTACTAACATCCACGCTCGAAATTTCAGCTGGCTCCAATCGGCCTTTCTTTTGCGACACTGTCGACTTGGGTGACTTGTACGCCGCGATCCACGTAGTCGTTCTGCCGCCGTCGCCCCAGGCCTCACTCTCTCCCGGAAACACCCCAAATGGCTCCTCCAAGAACCCCTACAACGGCCACGACGGCACCAACGGCCATGCTCAGGATGTGAACGGGCGTCCGAGTACACCCACACAGCTGGACAAGTTCCTGCTTAACCTCATCAGCGCCGGTGTCGACGAGCCACGTCTTTCCGACTTCGACATTTCCCTTTTCACCCTCATCTTTCCAAAATGCGAAGGTTACGCTGTCCGATCGAACCTCCTGGAGCACCGCTTGCAGGACTGTCCGATTCCTATTGCTCGCATCGATGATCGCCTGATCGCTCGAAAGTTTCATGGCATTTTCTGGGCAAGAGAATTGACCGCCGCCGGCCCCAGCGCTAACCTCTCCCTTCTCGCCGAGCACGCTGCCGGTGTTGTCCAGTGGTGCGATGTTTCGAGCGCCCTATCCATTCAGGAGCTTCAGCAGCGCCTTATCAACATCACCCAGGAATTGCACCATAGGCTTCACAATGTGCCTTGCTTGTTACCTGATCCCCCCATTGAGGAAAAAACAGTAGCTCTCGTCAGGGGTCGCCCAAATCTGATGACAGGCGGTCCGGTCTACGCTGCTGCCAAAGCACTGGGCCTCAAACTGGTCATCATCGACGAAGCTGGGCATTGGCTTGAAGCTAATACCATCGAGAACCGCAAGCTTCGCAAGGCATTCCTCAGAACGGACATGACAGAAGACGAAGGACTAGCCGACCGCATTGTGCAGTCAATTAAGAGATACGGCACGCCGGTGGATGGTATTTTCACGTTGTCCGATAACTTCTTTGTCACCGTCGCCAAGGTCGCTGAGGAACTTGGTCTTCCTTGTGGCCCGGTCTCGGCATTTGAGACAGCGGTCGACAAGTACAAGTCCCGCATGCTGCAGGACTCTCCTGGTCATACGGCCCGAGTAACCAGCGTTGAAGAGCTCGACATCCTCCTCTCTGCGCCAACCGATGGTTCCCAGCCTTTCTTCACGCCTACTTTCCCCATGATCGTCAAACCTACCAAGGGCTGGTCATCAGAGTGTGTATCCAAAGTCACCAAGCTCAGCGACCTTACTACCGCCGTCAAGAAGGCGACCACACGTCACGGTTCCGCGGCAGTCATCGAGCCGTTCTACGACGGCCCCGAAATCGACGTCAACTTCGTCCTTCTCGACGGCGAGATTCTCTTTTACGAAATCGCAGACGAGCCCCCCTGCGAGGGTGACGCCACCGACGCGACCGTCAACGACACCTTCTCGCCCGTGGCCCTCACCCTACCATCCGCCCTCCCCGCCGACGAACAAGAGATCGTCAAAGACACCCTCCACAAGATCCTGCTTGATCTGGGTTTCCACACCGGCATCTACCACCTCGAAGCCCGCATGGTCAACTCCAAATACGAATACCGCTCCATTTCCCCGGGTATCATCGACCTCGTCCCTCGCGACAACCTCCCCTTAAGTAAAAATCCCGAATGCAAACTCATCGAAATCAACGCCCGTCCGCCCGGATACCGCGTCTCCGTCCCCTCGCGCCACACCTACGGCATCGATTACTTTGCCGTGCGCATGCTCGCTGCCCTAGGCGACAAGGACCGTCTGCGCGCTATCTCTGTTCCCTTCTCTCATTACTCTGAAGTTGACGACGGCACACCCGGTGCCGGTGCGCAATACTGGTCTCGCCTTGTGTACATTCCTGTTCCGAGGGATGGCGTCTTGAAGTGGGGATTCAAGCAGCATGAGAGCGAGCACAATGGGTATGAGATCATCAGCCCGTCCGAAGACCTAAAGCTGCGCCGTCCCGATCTGGCGGGGCATATTGTTCTAGCGGTCGATTATTATGAACATGGAGAGTGGGTGAGCACGTTTACTGATGGCGCGAGAACGTATCTGGGACATGTCCTTGTCAAAAGCACCGTTAGTAGGCAGGAGGCTATTGAGGTTGGTAATGCGGTGCTTAAGGCCTACGAGGTCGATATTGATATTGAGGGGGAGTCTGACTTTGACTTGCTGAGCGACTGAGAGGGTGTGAGGGTTTGAGGATTACCTTGCTCGGCTTGGTGGTCTTTTGGTCAGGTCCGGTCCGGATGGAATAACCTCAAAGAGGTATACTGGGAGTGGCGTCCCTTGATTATCTGTGGTTCAGTATTCTACGGAGTCTCGAACGTCAGTAGGGAGTGGCGTCCCTTGTTTGGCTTTGATGGTCTACAATAAGGACTAAAACTTGCTCTGGCACGCAGGTGTATTTGAAAACAGGGAGTGGCATCCCGAACTCACTTCCATCTGTCTTGCTTGACGCGTTTACCTTTTGGCTGGTAATTCCAGGCGTCTGTCTTCTTAGTCTTGACCTGTTGTTACTTCATGTTTGCTTTTTGTATGTTTCCTCTAACCTACTTTACGGCTAGTCCTTCCTCTTTTTCTCTCGGTACCTTAATTGGAGGACATCATAGCATCGCGTCGGCGTTGAAGACAGGAAAGCTCAGTCGCCTTATAGTTGAGGTTGATGTGAGCGATAATAGGAGTTTACTGGACAGTTTAGACATACTACGTATCCAAACCCATTCCAATCTCTGCTACCCGCGTGAAGTTGTCCGAATGGTCACTGTATTTGCAACCGCGGAAAGTGGTCACGTCCGTGTACTTCTAAGCGTCCCGCGCCGGTTCGGACTTACAGGAGACAAGAGACAAGGTCGATACCCTCACGTAAGACAAGATGTGACGTGTAAGCCGGAGCGACAAATGGCGTGATGTTGCATTTCCCCTTCTTTCGGACCTTGGGACACTCAGCCGTGATTGATATTGGGGATTGGAATGTGAAACTGGCTTGAAGGATTGTCGGATATATAACTGGCATGAAATTGATTCCCTGGTAGGTGAGTGGCATTGAGACGGTTGATCTCTGTGTGTGAATATGATATCGCGATCGTCCCTCACGAAACGCGATGATCCAATAAGTCGATTAGTGAATGGTATTGACAAAGAATGTTCGCAACAAGTCTATCTGTATCTCTATAATATGCCCTGTCAAACGTATTAGCAAACGAGGAAGAGACCCTAATGGATGCGAAGATGAACCTACCTTTGAACTCCATCTATGGTCTACCAGGGGTACCGTATCCAAGCAAGGCCCCCCTTTCTAAAATTCTAATCCGAATCCGTCTATCCCAAACCATGTCTATCTATCCTTCTATCCCCGTCTATGGGTATATCCCTCTTCCTTCACACCCCCCTTTCCAATCCGTTCGTTCAAAGATTACTCTTCAACATGACAAACAAACTATCACACCTCGCCAGCTCGACCTCCTCCCCCGTCACCTCATCCTCCACCACAATCGCCGCCTCGCTCCAATACTTGCGTCCCTCCACCTTGGTAATCCTGCACCGGACCATAATCGTGCACGGCGTCCTCACCGGCTTCACAAAGGTAGTATTCAGGTACGCCGTCATAAGCGGGAGGTTCTGCATCCTCTTGAGCTTCTTGTTCTGGGTGAACAGCTGGCCCGTCAGGTCGTCCATCATGGCCATGACCATGCCGCCGTGGCAGACGCCAGGCCAGCCGTTGAGTTTGTTGCCAAGAGTCAGGAAAGCCAAAGTTTCGGTGATGAGTCCCTCTTCGGACCCGTCGACGGTGGTGATGTAGGCGGATATGGTCTCGGGGCTGTTGAGCGTCTGGGAAAACAAGACGTCGCAGTGGCCCGGCTTGGGTTGGCGGCTGTCGGCTTGGGTGATGACGAGGTGGGGTTTCGAGAGGTGCTTGGCGACCCAGGGGATGGAGCGGAAGTGGTCGATTTCCATTTGTGCTGTTTTGGGGGTGGTTGAGAAGGAGGAGGAGGACGACGACTCGGGGTGAGGTCTCATCGTGGTGGTGGTGTGGACGGCGGCAGCGGCAGCGGCAGCAGTAGTGTGTTGGGCCCGGGTCCAGTTCGTGTTTGTGGCGGGGATGAAGCTAGAAAGCGAGAGAATTGGGTTTCCAGTCAGCTATGGTGTTTGCGATTCAGTCGTTTGCGAAAAGGTTTGAATGTCATGACTGAGTGTGAAAGTGTTGTTGTTGTCGTCGTCGACGGTCTCCGACTCTCCGTTATCAATGTTGTCATTGCGGTGGGTGGGTCGTGCCGAGGTTCCTTTGAGATTGGATGGTTGGTGATATCCACTGGACGGACTTGGTTCCATCGCGGCGGAACAACATGTTTATCTTTGCGTCGCAATGCTCACTCAAAACATACCTCGGGGACTTGGGGATGGTGTTGTTCCTGACACTGGTCATGCACCGTCTGATGGCGGTTCCTTGCATCCGTCCGATGTTGACGGTCTGTCTGAGCGCGGCGGTCATTGCTGAAGACATCTGCAGAGTGGCAGTGGGTTAGCGCTGTTAATTGAGGCTCTTGTCTGAGGCCCTTTTAGTGAGCAGCACTATCAAGAAGGGTTTCTTACCGTGAACAGAGTGATGACGTCGTATCGCCTAACGAAAGGGTCTCAATGCTACCTCTAGGTGACAGAATCCGCAACGATTATAAAAGACAAAAGACGCACTTCTCAAAATGCCGTCCAGGAATTTCTTCAACGTCGCAGTATTTTCTCCAACACGGCGGCTCGGCCTAGTTGATCTCCCGACGCTGCTCTTTTTGACGCAAACCCTGTCGCTTGGCTTCGGCTCTATCATCCACCGCCGACAGCGATATCCTCGCTTGAGTCAGGTACCCGCTTGGTCCATTGAGACGGCTGTCCAGTTATCATTTCATGATCCACTGATCGTTGGACTTGAAGAGTAGTAAGTTCTCGAATAATCATCGAAGGCGCTCATCATCCGGGTAGTTCGGATAGATATTCAGTGTTAAAGGAGTCAATCTTGTTCCTCGGTATGTTGTCTTTTGTAAACAGCGAAAGGGGGCCAATGGATGGAAATGGCGAATTGGCGAGTTTTCAGGGCACTGACGTTGATACAACCTGGAAGCCCGTCGATGCCGCCGGCAATCTAGTGTAGTGTGTGTTCGGGCTTCGGCAGCCCTCGGCAGCGATAAGATAATCTAGCCCCTGAAGGAACTATCCAACTCGCCTGGCATCCCCTGTCTTTCCCTCCAACACCACCAAGTCTCCAACAAAAAAAGTTACCTCGGCATCTTTGACTTTTTCTATTTTGCAAATCAAAACAAAATAATAAAAAAATCCCATCGCAGCAAGCAAGCGTCCGCCGCGCAGCAAACTCCGGTCACCAATCGTATGTACGCTACCGAACCATTCGCGAATCGAATCAACCCTCGTTACCATTTATCAAACTTTTCGAGTGCCGTCAACATGGAACAAGATCCCATATGCTTGAACCGATCCGATCGTCTCAACAAAAAAGTCGAAAATAAACTTCCAGATCGTACCGAAACCTGAACTGCCCGATCAAAACCTAAAAGTGACCCGGACCCACCGAACTTGCCCCGCCGCCCCTTCCATTCAGATCGGAGATAACCCAGATGCCCAATCCCGCGATCACGCTAGATAGTGTACTGTAGTGTACCGCGGTAAGTCGTGTAGTAGAAAAAAGAACAGAATAAATAAAAAGATGATGTCCCCCGCCATCGCAAAGTGCGCCAGTTCCGCTCTCTTTTGCTTCCTTCGATCCTCCGCTCTTTGGATCGTCGTTGTTGCTGTCCTTGTCTTTGGTAGTTTGCGACGGCTTTTCCTTGTCCGTCCTTCTTCTTCTTCCTCCCGTCGTTCCGGTCCTCTCGCGTATCGTCGTCGATCTCCTCCTCCTCCGTCCGGTCCCCCATCCGACTCCCCTCCGCCGACCTCTTCTCCGATCACTACCGCCGCCGCCGCCGCCGCCGCCGCCGACACCCCCTCCGGCCTCGACTGAACACCACCGAAGCCCACCAATCCCCTCCGTGTGAACACCCCGAAAAACGACAACAAAAATGGCAGTCGGAACACTCTCCCTCTTCTACCCCGTCATCCTCCCCCTCTCGACCGCCGGCCTCCTCTATGCCGTCCACCGCCTCATGTACGTCGACTGGGCCGTCTGGGCCACCGACTTCTTTACCGGCCCGGGCAGCGTCAGTCGTATTCTGCTGGTGGTTTACATGGGTTTGAGCTGGAAGAATTTCCCTTTTATGTGGCATGTGAGTTTACCCCGGTTCTTTCTCTCCTTGGTCTCTGGTGTCTTGGGATTGGTAATGTTGGGGTTGTGGTTTGGGGGGGATGGATCATGGATGTAGGCGGGTAATGGGTAACGGGTGGGAAGACTGAGATGGAGGGTGGGTGGACTGTGGCAGACAATTAGGAAGCAGACGTGCAGGCGCGTGAAAGGTGGCGTTGGGATGGATGCTAGGTATGCAGGCAGCGCATTGTTGTGCTGTGCTACTGTGATCCCGCCCTGTCTCATCCGATTACCACTATCTCTCCCGTCGTCTCGTCTCGTCTTTCTTCTGTTCCTGTCCTTCTTCTGCTTCCTGCTTCCATATCCCTCTCTTTTCTTCCTTCTTATATATACATACTAACCCTTCGATAATCCAGATCCGCGTCTTCCACGCCTTCATCCTGCACCTCCTCCGCCGTCCCCCCACCCCCCTCCGCCCCAATTCCCTCTTCCACCCCTCCATAACCTCTTCCTACACCTCCCCCCTGGAAACCGACTACAACCTCCACAAGTCCAACTCGACTTACTTTGCCGACCTGGACGTCTCCCGCTCCCACCTCGTCACCCACTTACTCGGTCCCGCCATGTCCGTCGTCGGCGACAACGCCAAGAATAAACTTGTTTTGGATCCCCAGGGAAATGTCGTCAAAGGTGGTTTTGGTATTGGACTCGGCGCCGTCTTTTGTTCTTTCAGACGGGAGATCCCGCCTCTCAAGGGATACGAGATGTGGAGTCGCATTCTGTCTTGGGATCGCAAGTGGTTGTACATCGTCACCCATTACGTCGTCAAGGGCAAGGTCAGGCCTACTAGCTGGGATGGCAGGAAGTTTGGTCCTACGCGCCCCAAGCTGGTCAGGACTGAGGATGGAAAGGAGGTTGAGGAGAAGGATTTCTCAAAGTACGTCTACGCCACCGCCATCAGCAAGTACGTCTTCAAGCTCGGCCGCTTCACTGTCCACCCTTCCATTGTCATCGAGGCCAACGGCTTGCTTCCTGAGCGTCCTGGTGAGGGATGGCGTGGCGGCGAGACCGGTACCGGCACCTCCGAGGATCTTGGCGAGATCAACGAGAACAGCGAGTGGGACTGGAAGCGCGTCGAGTACGAGCGCAGAAAGGGCATGGAGTATGCTCAGCACTTTGCTGCCTTGGATGGCGTCAACTCCCTGTTCGACGGTGGCGACGATGGTGCCATTGGCAAGTTCCATCTGGGTTAAACTTAAAAAAAAAAGCACAAAGAAAAGAGACAAATCAGCACGGAGAAAACATTATTCTAGATATCATAGACACGGGGCAATACATGGCACGGATAGACGGAAAAAGATAGCATTGGGAGCGAATCATGTTGAATTACTACTACTACTAGAACTTTTAGGATCGGCTCCGGGTCGCCTCTAGATATGTTTGTACCCCCGGACATTAGGAAGTTGATGCTGTGTGCACAATCATACACGCACAAACGCAAAGAGTGCAGCTGGTTCTCTCGCGTCCACCGAGTAGACAGAAACCTGCCATCCAGATCCTTATCATCCACTCTGCTGCTGCCAACCACATCCCCACACTCAAAGCATCATGAAGCATGCGGCCAACGCACCAACACCTGTCATGACAATGACACCAGCCCCTGATCGCGCCGTCGAAGCACCGCTGCTCTTGTCAGTGGGAGCTGGTGTTTGGCTGGAGCTGGAGGCAGGGACGTAAAAAGCAGCGGGCCTGGTAACGGTATTGACGGCTATGTTTCTGGGCTCCCAAACGGAGGACCAAATAGTCTCAGTCGTGTAGCCTGACGAGTACGAGTCTGAAGGAACATTGATGACGACAACTGGGGCCGCTGACGACATGGGGAACTGAACCGTGTTCGGGCCAGGCGTGAGGTTCTCGACTGTCGTCAGTACGTCGCCAGTTGGGGCTGACGTGGTGGTCGTGCTGGACGAGACGTCAGACGTTGTGATGGTCGTGCTGGACGTCGAGATGGGTGTATCGGTAGAGGTTGCAGAAGAAGGCTCGTCAGAAGAGGGCTCGTCAGAAGAGGTCAAGGTCATTGTGGTTGTTGAAGTCGAATCGTAAATAATGACAGACTCGACTTGGACCGCCGCGGTGGTGGTCATTGTCATTGTCGTTGACTCCATCCCAGTCAGCGTAGTTGTCGAAGCTTCAAGAGTATCAATGTCAAGCATGGCTGTCTCAGGCCTCTCAGTGCGGAACGTCACAGGGCCAAGGTCATCTATGTCGGCAATGTTAGATTGAGTTGGTCATCAACACGAGTGGAACGTGGGCACTTACCCCATGGACCTGAAGTCGTCACAGGAATAGCTTCGGACTTGCCCGTGGTTTCAGGAGCTGGAAAGCATGTGGCTTGTCAGAATGCCTTCGAGTAAAAAGAGACATGCTTGCTTGGGGCTCACCTGGGGCGTGTCTGTGAGACCATGCTTTGTCGGCCAGGACCAAAGCCAAGAGTGAAACGACTGTGGTGGAATGCATGGTGACTTGGAACAAGTAGAGATGATGTCCAAAGAATGAGGCAATGAATGACTGGTTGGGTTGGCAGCAAGAGAGTGTTGGGCGGACAAGAGAAGCAAAAATGAAGAGTACTGATGATGCTGATGGAGGAGCAGAAAAACATGGATCAAGTGTCTGAGGAACAGACCTCTATTTGAACCCCAAGGATACTCTCAGCTCTCGTCTCCTACCTGTGTATTTGTTTGTTGTTCTCTTCAGCACTCGCACGGTTCAGTTGTGTTGTGACTTCTATGTTGTGAATGCGAAGACAGTGGCGTGTCAGATCATGTTTTGTATATGGCAGTTGCGGTCATGATGTTGGTCGACCGATTACGGACAGCAGCCCGAGAATGTCATCCAACGAAGCAAGAATGGCCTACGCAAGCCTGGTGTGATAGGACTCACTCTCCGTCACCGACAATCACCACAACCAGGTGAATTTTGGTATGGGAAGAACAAGCCCATCCAGATGTTAGGTTATCTACGAAGTGTTGTTCAGTTGCGCCTTTTTCTATCCGATGGTGGGGTTTCGCTTGGAAAAGGTGTAAAGCATTTCTGGCGTCCGGTCCTGGACCAGGAGAGCTCATCGAAAGGGCTTTCTCAGTCCCTTCGGACATCAGGGTTCATCCAAATGGAGCACGATAACCAAGGTGGAAGTTTCGCTGTTGCTAACTGGACAAGAGATCGGAGCGGCAGGCGTGGTTGCTCCTCCCAACTGGTGAGCGACTGCGACTGCTTCATTTCACTGAGTCAATGACGGAGCGGGCTCATGGCGGTATTTTGGAAGCACCTGCCAGATCTTGACGGAGGGTCCTGTTATCATGTTGTGATAGGCTTTCTGGCATATAATGGAAGGAACGAGACACAGGCACTGAGCTCTTCGCTCGGCAAACAACTCGAGAGCTGCTGCTGGACCTCGTAGGATCTGACTATTTCGCCAACAGAGGCAGGAACCTAACGAGTGTCGCAAACGTCCTTTTATCACCGAAAATTGACCGGACCTGAAGGAGGCATTGTGCGGTATGGACAGGATCGTCCAACAACTGAACTCCCGCGGTAACTCTCGCTCATGTAACTAAAGAATCCAAAACACCTGCTTGCAAGTAAGAAACTTTCAGTTGCCCATTGTTGAGCCTCAGATTTTCATCGTTCTTTCCGACCATGTGTTTGTCTGACCTGACACGCTAGATGTGCAGGCAGAGGAAAGACCTCCCGAGAACTTGCACCTGCAAGAGGAAAGAGCGGTTCGAAGCTCTCCATTTGGCCACTGTTGGTTTTCCACTGTTCCGTCATAAGTCTAGGCGGGTTCTGCCTTGATGTTTCCTCGTTGGCTTTAGGTTTTGCAGCCTCAAATCCAACCAAGCAGTGACCAGTTTCTAGCGATGAGTTGGCTCATCGCACCTCGACGCCTGATTTGACCCGTTCTTCTTACTCGGAGACGACCTGGCTCGCCATGGTTGCACTTGCAAGTGTTCCGTGAAGCCCAGTCCAACTGGCCACTTAGTTTTCCTTTTAACGTGTCCCGGCAGGAACATCAACGAAAGGAATGTAGTTCCATTAGAAAATCAGGAAATAGCCCGTCAAGTTTCGACCAAACGGCAGTGACAGAACTGACCACCGCAAACGCCAGTCCACTTGAACAGAGAGATCCGCCATGGCCATTGAGCCGGCCCGGTCTGCTCTTTCCACCTGGCTGGCCGGATGTTGGCCGCAGTCATTGAAGGAAGAAACACAGCCGCCATGCTGTCGCCAAGGCAGATTGGCCGCTTTCCCAGAAAACAGGCTACAACGAACCGGACATCCTCAAATCTCACTTGCCGTTCAAAACCCTGAAAAAGGTTCCATGATCGTAGCAGTGTTAAGATGGGTTGACAATTTCCTGATAGATGTTTGCGTCTTTCCCTTTCATCGTCTGAGTCACTTGCTTCACTCGCACAAAGATGAGCGGAACCGGAAACTCGGGCAAGGGAGGACATCGGGCTTTGGGAAGGAAGATGATGGGCCACTCACTTCCAATATCAACCACACACATAAACCATGGGAAGAACAGGATGGACGGATCAAGACTCCCTGGCCGCATGTGCAATTGGTTCGCTCTTCAGCCGGAAGTGACAAGACCGCAATCAGGGTCATGGGCACGTCGTTCCGTCGCCTCCGAAAGAAAGGATTGTACCCCGGGGATCATTTACAACCGGTACATGAAGCCATCATCGACACGCATGTGAGTAAGTGGTTCACTCGTCCTAAGATCCACACTCACCAGGGTCACAGGCATCCATTTGCGCTTGTCAACTTCCACAAAAACCTCCCCCTACCGACAAATGACCGTCATCCACGCCGGTTTGTCAGGCCTTGTTGGTCCAGCTGATCATGCAGCGATCCTGTTTGTCCAACAAGCGACACAAGCGCGGTGCGCCTCCAAAGCTTCTTCGGGCGTTTCTAGTGTAGGCTTTACCCAGGCATCCATGTCAGCCCGAGGCTTCCACTTTGGAAAACATCCAGAAGCGGTGCCGCCGATGATGGTGTGTAACGAGCGGGGTAGAATAGTTGCTTCCAACACCGTGTTGGGAGATTAGGTATCAAGCGCACCTACTTACCCCTGCCACCGCATATGACCCGGAGTTTTTGTGGTATCGATGGAATGACAGGAAGTCAATAACACAATCCTCCATTCCGACATAACAAAGAAACAGATGTGAGAAGGGTGTTGATGGCATTTTCTTGCTTCTCCATCGAGACAAACACGCATGCATACAGTCTTTCCCATGATGTGAATGCGACACTGCGGTTTGTCAGCGCCATCAACCATCACCGGCACCGCAACGGCACGGTCTCTCTTTCTCCTTCTCTCTTTGTGACACCATCTTGACTTCCGAAAATTGACGGGGGAAACCAGAAAGGGAAACCATCAAGCGACGCTGCTACTCGGTACACCCCCGCAACTCCTAAAGGAGGAGTGACCCAAGATATTGTTGCAATTTCAGTTAGTTGCAAGAGAACCTTTTTAAGATGAGAAGCACAAAAAAAAGACAACGTCGAGAAAGGGACTGGAGAAAGAACAGATCAATAGCTCACCAAGTTCAATTCTCGCGGCAGCCGGTTAATCCCATCCTTCGTTCCTTGACTTTTTCGACGCCGCAGAGGTGCATGGATTTCCAGTTGTGGACCATTAACGCAGGTGGTACTGTATTCCATTGTTCGCAAGCGAAACTGAGCGACGTAAGAAAGCGTGGATGAGCATGGATGATAATGCGAATGCAATGGTGTGTGGTTGCCTTGACCTTGGTAACGATGCATTCATTGATGGTGGTTTGCATCGATGGCAGTCGTGATTTCGGCCGGATGTGATGCAATGCGGTGCACAAGCGACGCAAGCGACGACGTCGGTGTCCACGGAATCGAATCACTTTATTCCTCCATCGGACGTGCCTGCGACGATGGTATCCCATTTCTCAAAGCATGAAAGCAGAAAAGAAATGATAGTATCGCAAGGCTCTTTTCGAAACCTGATCAACAGAGGGAATGAATTATACATCCGCAACAAACCCCGAAAGCGACATCCTTTCTTTCTTCCTCCGTCCCGTCCGTCGCTGCGTCGGGTCGCATTTTCATCTTCATCCTCTTGCTCCACAATCTGCCCTGCACTAACACCTATACGCATTAACCTCCCCACTAACGCGCTTGTAAGCGCCAACAATGCATACGACCTTCAATCCCATTGGTTGATCATACGCCTTTAGCGGGGCTTTGTGTGCTGCATGGCGCTTTTTCGGCATCACACTCACTCGCACACGCACACAACAACCTAAGAGACGCGGTGCGGAGCATGGAAGCGGAGTTGAGTCCGGTCTTGGTGGGAATATTGGCATCTTGGCCTTTCTTGTTCTTCATCATATGCATGAAATTTCTTACTTGATGGCTTCAACCGGAAAGTGAGTAGAAGGCGTGCTGACAGCATGTTACCAATGTTGCACCGCCTGCTTCTCGGACGGTCTTGCGGTGGTGGTTACGAGGAGGGAAGGAGGAGTACCGGTCGGTTGGTCGGCACCGTGGCCGCGGCCATTCTTCGCATCGATTTGATATGATGTGTCTGTCATGGCCGGTTGAGTTAGTAGGCCGGTTTGACTACCGGGCTATGTATTGCTTTTGGGATCATACAAGGTTGAGTGATGAGGCAACTTTGTGGGTTGGCTTCTCTTCGACTTTATTTTACGAATTCATTCTGGACGAAAATGCGATAATGATTGATGCTTGGAAGGATCAGTCCCCCGGTTGGCAAGATGGAAGGCGGTGCAGGGCTTCCTTTTGAACGAGAAAATAGCAACATGTCGTCGGTATCATGAGGGACACCTTCAATGAGATTTACTCAGAAAAAAAAAAAATGCCCTGATTTTCGAGAGATGCATCTGATAAAACTTGGCTCGGCATGCTCTCCGACCGAGGACATTGCAGGCTGGTTCTTGATAAACCGTCCGTGCGCCTTCCTCGGTGTTTCCAGGGTCTCGCGCTCCCATGAAGTTTATTTACGTGCCGTTAGAATGCAGCACCGATAACATAGCTACGCATCAAGCAAAAGACAAAGTCCTTAGTCATTGAGGAGAAAAGTCTGATGCGATGCATCGCATATTGCGGAATTTTGAACATCCGACGATGTCGATAAAGGGTGGGTAGGGGTGAATGCAGACTTGAGGCGTAGAAGGAGATGAGGACTTCTGGCGATGTTTCTTTCTCAGCTTACTGTGATATTTGGTTATTTCGAACGCCGACAACCCCAAAGGGTCTCGTGCGATGGATGGGTAGTAAGAGTCCCCGGGTGGCTTTGCGATGAAATGATCTAGGACGTTCTTTTCTTGGTTCTGACTTTAGGCGAATGTTGCCAGTTTCATGGCTCTGACATCTTTACTTTTTTTCCTATAACCGAAAGCAAAGGTGACTATCGGTACGAAGCTTGAAACTCTTCAGTAGAGATAGTTTCTACAAAGATGTCCATTGATAATTGACGATGGTTTCAACTCGCGGGGGATGTCGCACCGAGAGAACTCGGACGGGTTAGTCTATTTCTCGCGATATGGTAACGAAGCTGTTACTCGCAGGCTGGACATGGGTCAGGTGGGGGGAGGGGGATCCGACCCGGCGCACTGGATGATACCAATGATCAGACACCGAACTCCTTGAAAATCACCAACTAATCCAGTGTGTTGTCTTTGGAGCCACAGACGACATTGGGTGAATTGATGAAAATTTGACCTGTCATGGTCAAATCTGTTGCGCCACAAAACACACTGTCGGTAAGTCAGACGGGCTTTTCGGGTTGGGGATTGGATGGTGGGGGCCTAATTCGAGCCTCTTGGGTAAAGATTAGCTGCGCCATGGAACTGCGCTTTGCTGTAGTCACGGTTATTCGAAAATAGCCGAGTATTGTCAGCAAACGCCATTCCACTTGTCAAGTGTCAACCCTCTTCGGCGATGTCCAGTCATCGTTCTTGCTATCATCATGTCTTGGCAGCCCGAAATGCGGGGTTTGGGTGGTGGTGCTCCCTCCAGGTGCTGAAACGCGATCTGGTTGGGGATCTCGAGACTCAAAGCCAAGAGGTGACATTCCGTCAGTTCGCAAAGATCGGTTGAAGCTGTGATGTCTGGGCAAAAGTGCATGTCGTACTCCTGGACGTTTGTGATGAACTCGGGGGAATGGATTTCACAAACATGTCCCCGGGTTGGATTCCGACAGCGTGGAAAGCGATTTGCATCCCTTGTCGAGGGAGAATTCTCACTGTGAGAGATGCCTGACAGGGAGAGGACAGGAGATGACCGAAGGCAAGCAACAATTGACAAGGGAGAAGGGAAAACACAACGTTCTCGACCTCGACAGCCACGCAAATGGAACCCTTGCCGGAAGTGACAGCCGGCAACGTGCACTGAACGCAGGGGCGTGAGGAACGTGCAGAAGCGAGGAAACGAAACAGCCCTAACAGCTTGGGTCAGTTTCATTCTTTTCTCGCCATCACCTTTGCGAGATCTGTATTGCGGTACAATCTGTTGCCATCTCTGTGATAATCTTGGAATTGTCGCGATAAAGTTGTTGTAGTGGTGAGGACAACACAAGAGGGCGACAATTGCGCCTGCAGACGGAGTCACAAGCAACCGACAGAGGCCGACAGCCAAGCGAGCCAAGATTGCGTACAAGTACAACATCATCGGGCCGTCGCTGGAATTATGAAGCATGTTGCCGTTCTCTTCCGTGCCAAAAATACCCAAATCGAGAGGAAACAGAAGATGCAAAGATGCGCCGTCAAGGGTGGACACCTGGGCTAAATCGAGTGCTTTGTGCGGGTACAGTTTGGGTTAATCCCAGCCTTCCCTTTACGGAACAGCCAATTAGAGGAGTGGAAAACCTGCCAAGCTTAGTGAGTTAGCCGCGCATCTGCTTAGTGGAGCTGGGGAACAACGAAAGTGGACAACACAGCAACGACCTCATGTCCTCCTTCCACCAAATGTCAAAGCGAGTGTGACTTTCTTTCTTTCTTCACCATTCCGATATCCGCTTGCTTTTTTTTGCCCAAGAAATCTCTGCCAGCTCAATGATTGCTGCCTCACCGTGTCAATATTCCATTCAGCGACCCGTCCTGCCGTCCAGCCGTCGTCGTCAAAGACATGTCTCGGGTTCTTGCTTCGGCGCCCGCAGGTCTCATCAGAGCATTCACGTCCCAGTCTCGGGATTCACTCTGAGCATGTTCCACCTGGTCAACGGGCAGCCCAAAGATAACCGGCAAAGTTGCCGTTGTTTTCTCTGAGGTTGACATTTTGCCCGCCAAGTTCATTTACATACACCACCTCATGAGGCCCATTGTCACGGCCAAGCGCTATCATCTCCCACTGGCCCTTGGACACACAGCCAAGGCATTCTACCTCCACCGAAACTGCGAAACAAACACAGCAGCGGACTGAGGAACGGCCACCGGCACCATCGCGTCGAATATCAACAATGAACCATTGCACCCGTATTCGTACCACGGCGGATACTTGCCGGAGAGACGCCTTGTGCTGCTTTGTGCAAATCCCTGGTCCCATGCCAGCCGTGGGAATTATAGGTTGCAATATTGAAGCCTCAATCTTGGATGCATGATACAAGGTACCTCGACGGCGTGTAAAGTCTTGGGGGGTTGCCAGGGTGGTGGTCAGCGTGGGATGCATGCACCCTTGCGGATTTTAGACGCAATTCTCTCGGCGAAAAAAAGAAGCCCGTCCTCGAGGTTGTCGAGTAGTGTACTACATACACTTTGCGAAGGGATACCTTTGTGATCCTTCATCTTAACTCACAAACGACGGCTTAGGCGGCGAGCGTCTCCCAAGATTGCTTTTCTCTTCTATCTTGTCTCATCCATCTCCCCTCGTGCTACCTAGCATGGTATCAATACTACTACATGGGACATGAGATATGAGCATGGGCCTCGTCAACTCTCCTCTATCTTCTGCGGATCACCATCACGATATCTTTTGCCAGTGCAATGGACTTTGTGTTCTCCTACACGGTTGTTCTCCTCCTGCAGAAAGTCAAAACAGCACTGTCAGAGCCCCTTCAGACCCATTCAACCGGTTCTACAGATTGCTTGCTTAAAACACCTCCATGTTTGCTTTTCCACAATACAACAATCTTGCCCCGGTCCCTGACCCTGGGCCGCGCCCTTGTCCAGGTCAGCGGACAACGGCCGTGCTTAGACTAGTTTTGACAGCCACGTTCTGACCCGTGTCCATGCCATTATCCCCGGTCCATGGCCAAAGATCCGGCCCCGGCCCACACCACCCACGCACACTCAGTCTAGTCTAATCTCTGCCTCGCTTGTTACCATTTATACTTTGGAAGCCTGCCATTTTTTTCGTCTCTACTTTTTTGGAGTCGTGATCATCGGTCTTAGTCTTGTCTTTTCTACGCCGCTCGATCCTTATCCCTTTGGTCAGGCCTTCCAGCAGCTCTAATACTCGCTTCCTCCGCTATCAGAAGTTCTCAACACTCGACAATCAACTTCACGATTTCCTCCAGTTCTCTCACACACACATCAGACAAAATGGTCTCCACAAAGAGCCTTCTGCTTGCTGCCTTCACAACAATAGCATGCGCTGCTCCCACAAAGGGACCCTGCAAATCCCTAACCCCAACTCTTCCCAGCACAGGAGGTTAGTTTACTCTTCACTCATCTCCCTCATTCCCCAACCACCACTAACTCGTCTTGTCCAGGCGACAACCTCCAAGGTCCCTCTCCCACAGCCCGCCTCAAGAAAATTGCCCTCGGCCACGGCATCCAAAACTACACCTGCAGCGCCTCCGATGCCACCCCCTCCGCAACCGGCGCTCTCGCCGTTCTCTACGACGCCACCACCGTCTACCCAGGTCTCTCCAAGACCGCCTTGTCACCAGACGCCTTCAACTCCCTCCCCCACCTCCTCCTCTGGGACCGCCCTGTCCCTCTCAACCGCCCCTCCAACTCGTCCTACTCCGCCGACACCACGTCCCCCTTCCCTGCGCACAATGACCTCAAGGGACTAGCCGACTACCCATCCTTCAAGTACGCGGGCCACCATTTCTTTGATTCGACTGGCACGCCCATGTTCGATCTGGATGCGTCGGGACTGAAAGCGAGCGTGGTCAAGGGCGGTAATGTCAATGCGCCCAAGGATGCGGATAAGGGCGTGTTGGATACGGGCGCGGTGGCGTGGTTGAGATTGACGGATAGCAAGAAGGGGGAGAGCAATGGTGTGAATTTGGTTTATAGGGTTTTGACGGCGGGAGGTAATGCCGAGGGGTGTGCTGTTGCGGGGACGGGGGTGCAGAGTGTCCCGTATACGGCTTTTTATTGGTTTTATGAGGAGTAGAGTGTCGCTTGATTGAAGAATTGGAAGGCGGGTGGGTATGGTTTATGATGGAATTGTTGATGAGCTCTTCACCTTTGTCGGTGGGAGAGGACTTGAGCAAGTCAAGTCGGGCTTTTAATCTTGTTTATTGATGATCAAAAGGAGTTTGGACACGGTGGGAGGTGGTTTTTTTGTCCTTCAACTTCTGTCTTTTGGACTACGACGGCGTTCTGGTTTGGGCTTTGGTTCGGGTGGTCGGCGGCAGCATCTGCATTTTTCTCTTCTTGTTTCTTTCTTCAGGGTTCAATCGTTTATACCTTGTGCTCTCGCACCTTTAGATCATATCTCTCTCTTTAAATACCCACGATTTAGATACTTAATCTGATTCATACCTTCACCTCGCAAATGCCGTCTTGTCTTGCTTGTTTTGCGTCTCCCCAGCTTGTCTCTTGTGCTTCCCTTTCCTGCCCTTTTCTTCCCCAATCCCCTTTAACTCGTCAGCTGGTCCTCAGTGGCTTTGTTCGCCATATGCAGCCTTTGCATCGCATCGCATCTCATATGGAGCTCCATTTCTTGGTTGTTTGACTTTTCAGATGGTTGTGCATTGCTTGCAGGTCACCAATTACCCTGCAGCTAACAAGCCTCGAGGTTCTCGGTTGTTTCTACACGCGAGTGTCAACCACCGCAAAGACTCGGGGCGTTGACTTTTAGGTTTCCAGGAAATCAGGCATAATCTGTAAGCATACTGTAACATTCATGCCCACCAAAAATTGTATGCAAGACGGTGATTTTGAAGATCTCCACCCTCCAGCGCCCTTGGAAGAATAGGTGGGAAAAGGTAGGGCATCAGAGAAATCGAATTTACAGTACTTCGGGGTGGCAACATGTCTTCCCCATTTATTTCGGCGCGTATAGGATGCACGTATTTGGGCAGTAGACTTACAGATTATGCCTGATTTCCTGGAAACCTAAAAATCAATGCCCCGAATCTTTGCGGTACGGAAGAAGCCATCGGAAAAATCGGACGGGACAGCCGGCCATCGGAGATGCATTGTCTTCTCCCAATCATTTCCCCGACTTGACGAATTTTCAGCAGATCTCTTCATAGAATCATCCAGCATTTTCTCCCTCCAGCTTCCTAACTCTTCCACCACACTTTCACGAGTTCCAAGCTACTTCCCTTTTGTTTCTGTTATGGTATCCAGGTATTCGGGCATCTTCGCTGCTTTTCTGCCTTGCTGCTTTGCGCAGAAGCCAGGTTTGTTCGTGAGAACTGCACCACATCTGCATCCATGTCCGATCGCTTGGTACAGGGGTTTTAAAATCAGGCCATGTGGTCTTTGCAACCCGGGGCGAGTTCTCGCCTTTAGCTGAGACTTGGAGGGAAATGGGAATATAAGAACCAGCTTCCCCTCTCAAATATTGGTCCTCTCTTCTTTTCCCATCATCCCCTCTCTCTCCCCCTCTCCAAAGCACAACCCTCCTTCAGACTTCATCACGATGCCCAACACCTCCTTCCATCAACATCTCAGCATACCAACACACCACATCAACACATCAACACCCTCACATTCGTCATACCCAACATCTCCGGTCCAGTATATCTCCGTCTTCGTCCTCGCTTCCGTCTTCGCTACTCTCTTTGTCTTCTCCTCCCCCCATACATCGGGTGATCACCACCCAGACTCTATGAAACAGCATCGACAAAAGCCACCCTCAGCCTTCAAACTCTTATTGCCGTTCTTGTCCACTTTTCCATCCGTTTCATCCTCCCTCCAACGTCTTCCTTACCGCAGCTACGTGTGTCCTTCCAGCCGACCAGTTCATGATCATACCCAAGTGTCTCCTTTGGAACTCCTTCTCTTCACATCATTCATGTCTACCGTCGCCACATATATCTGGGTTAGGTACTTTCCAATAACCACTCCAAGATCAACAGTCACTTGGCCGCCACCGGACCCTCGACACCTGCCACGCCACACGAAACACATATGCCCTGGGCACATATCAATCTGTCAATCTGTCTCAGCAACAACACGATATCCAACACCACCACCATTCGAGGGTATCTGATACCGTCATATTACAAAACTTCATGTGATACCTCCATGCGTTCTCCTTTCTGATGAAATGTTTGTCTACTGCGCACTGGCCTTTTAATCTCCTCCTCTTTCCTTTCTTCACTCCTCCCTCGTGCATGTCCGCTTACCTTCCCACCCGTTTCGTATTAAATTAACAAAAAAAGATAAAGCCAAAGATGGAAACACCACAGCCACTTCATCTCGACTCGAACCGCCACCACCATCTCTGACGATGCGGCTGACGCAATGTCTCTTCATCTATGCGATGCCTGGTGGTAGGTTGGATTCGGAGATGACTCGATGGAGGGATTTACTTGTATCATCGGATGATCAACGATGAACGATCAACGACCGGTTGATCACGACGGTGAACGGTCTACGAACGATGGGCGATAATCCATGAACGGGTGATCAAACTGGGAAGAAGGGTACGACGCCGCTTTGATCTGTTCATGATCAGTTCGAGGCGGTCAGAGCAGAAGTAGGCTGAGGAAGTCTGAGGTTATGGAGGTTATGAAGATTATGGAGGTTATGGAGGTTATGGAGGTCGTCGAGGTCGTCAAGATTATCGAGGTCGTCGAGAGTCGAGAGTCGGGTTTCAACATCGAGGAGACAAGCAGCAGATGAGGACACCCCAAGAGAAAAGGCAGGAGTGCCATGATCTATAAGAGATGGTCTATCGACTCCCCCTAAGTCCTCTAGTCCCTTCAACGACCCTTTCTCTCTTGGCTATCCTCCCTATTTGCTCCTTTACGGCCTTGCCGCCTCATCAGCCATTAACCATCAATCCAGTAAGCCAAGCGTGAAAGAGTCCGAACTTCGAAGCAGCGGAAGGAAAGACAGGTCACCTGCGTGTACATGTACTGCATCGCTATCGTCGATCGATAACAATTTTTGTTCCGTTCAGTTTCACTCTAGGTACGCTTGCGAGCTTACTGGGTTGCTTGGTCACTGGTTTCTGGCAGTCTGCTTGCTTGGTTGTTGCTTGTCTGCGACCTTCCTACGGTTCCAGCAGCTCAAAGGGAGATGATGTGAAGACGGCGGAACTCAGAAGCAGGGAATAGTACATGGCTAGTTAACCATAATTCCCTTAATAGTCCTCTTGGTTCCGTGGTCTTTACTTCGTTCCCAGTTACACAGCTATAGACTTAGTCGATGGTTATCGGTGGGCTTGCTTTCTAGGTCGCAAGTCTCGCTCTTTAGTTCGACAGAACCCCTTGCTAACAATACCTATAATCCCTCAACGGCGGCTCTCATGGAAACTCTCGATACTTCGCTTCACCAAACATCTCCCTTGAACTCCCTATTCCTCCATTACCAATCAACCCACACCCGATCAACCCATCAAAGACTAAGTACTAAAGCAACATGCGTGAATGGACAAGCTTGATACTACTTCTCTACCTAGTGTCACTTCCTGCTCCAGCTCTAGCGATTTACCTCCAGCCCAACACAACTCTCCAGTTACCAACCATCAAGACCCATCAGAGTCCAAAGCTCGAACTCGACCAGAGTCTTTAGTTATGCTGTTGACCTTCCGACACCAATAACTCCAGCTTGTAGGTACAATACGATCATCACACGGAATCGCCTGCCTCGAGAACCCCAGACTCGACATAACCAGGGCTTGAATCCTCCCTCCTGGTGCCTCCTCTTTCTTTCTTGAATCGATACGTTAGCAAATCCTCTCCAGTCGCGAGGACTTCTCGTATTGGTTGAGGAAGGACGGAATTGTCAAGTTCATGTTTGGGTTCCGAAAAGCAGATACTTCCGTACATGGCCCGCACCGTGTTGTGATTGCCCAGGTATTGGTCGAATTATTGGCGTTGTTGGGAGGATGAACGGTAAGGTCAAGGTCAAGCAAGGGAAAGGTCAAGGGAAAGGGAAAGGGAAAGGGAAAGGTTAATATCGCTTTGTTACCAACCTACCTAAGCAAAGAAAACGTGAATGGAGACAGACTCAAGATCAGGGCACAGTGGGCTTTTTGGTTCACTTCCATGTTTGATCTGATAGAGCTACGCTAAGCATGTGTTCTCCAGGCCCTTCCATTGCCGCTTTTTTTTTTTTTTTTTTTTGCTTTGGCTTAGTGGCCGGTTATCTCTAGTCATGGTTTGGGGATTGATATGACAGATGGAATGGGTTGGGTTATGGAATGATGATGATGGAGTTGGTGAGTTGGCGTTAGGCGTTCATTGATCCTCCTTTGATCGCTGTCGACCGTCCTTGAACGTCATGCCGTTCATCGAGCCGTTGATCGACGTCGAGTTGATCGATCATCGATTGAAAGTTAATCCTCAATCCCATCGGGACCTGTATCAAGCCAAATAACAGGCAGACATGAAAACGGCAGACAGCAAAAGACGCCGTGGAGGTCCCAACTGGGGGATACAATCTACCTACACTCAGCGACTATCTGAGGCACCTGTACTATTGCTGCTTTCCTTCTACTTCTTGTTACTTTTCTTTAAGTACCTACTTGCGACCTTGCTCTCAAATCGATGCTTACCTAGCTTGCATGTGCTTCCCTCCTTCCACTTGTCTGATCCTCCAGTCCCAACTCCATCAAGATTTCAATCCCGCTATCCAGCTGTTGACATCGAATAAAAGCTATCCCGCCTTCTCAACCAGGGTATGTATCACTGCCAACCAACCAACCCACCTTCAGGACAGCTTTCAATGATCGTCTCCAAGATACCTACCCCGGCCGGCCGGCATCCGACGGACTTCAACACCGACCCGACCACGCACGCCTCTCCAGGGAAGAATTGGCGCATGGTTCTTCAATGGTCACAGTCTAAGAGAAACTTACCTCTAAGCAACTTGAAGAAATAAAAAAAAAAAGAACCTTAAGAAATAAAATGGACTTACTTACACATATATGTTGATTTGGGGTGGTTAGTTCTTTTTTGCTTTTTTCTTTATTTTTGCTTTGAGTTTCTTGCTCTGGTATAGAATCCCTCAGGGGCAGATAAGTAGAGGTATCAGGGTTTTAGTCTATTGTCTATTAGGGAGTAGATCTATTATATCGGTCGAGAGGTACCCTAGGAATGTAATAACTAAAAGGATATAAGGAGGAGATCCTAAGCTAGGAGTAAGGAGGAAAGGATAGGAATTCAAGACTAGATAATACTCTTTCTCGAAAATAGATTAAGAAATCCCGCTCCAAACTATAGAATCTTCGTTGAACGTCCCAGTAACAATAAGCCTAACATCCCTTCTAGAAGAAAACTAACTACTAAATCTACTCCTCTATTTTAAGGCTTAATAAAGGGAGTTTCGCTCTCCCCTTTGACCTTTAGTGGTGGTTGACAAGCTGTGGTTTTGCTACTCCATCTCAGTCCCTGAGGACGAAGGCCATGACCAACTCCAGATCCGCTCCTCTCTACATTTTGGTATAGTAGGGTACTTTTCGTATTAGTATGGTTTTTGCTCCATTTCAATGTATCCCAAAAGCACACGCCACCCTCACTAAAAGCCGCCGAGGATACCTAAGACAAAAGGGCCCGCCCGAACAGGAATCAACAACCGACAACTACTTATACCAATTGCGCCATCCTACCTACCTACCTACCCATCTTCCCACGGGAGTAATAGTGAGAATACGGGTGAACCGGTATATATTCATATTCAAGTTACCTACCCTTTACATAGGTGCCCCTGCCCAAGGGGTCAAGTCAAGTCAAGTTACCTTACGTATCGGCTGTGCTATGTGTGTCCCCGTTGGGCCCAGCTCACTCACTCACTATTTCGAGTTCGTTCTATGAAATGGAAAGAAGATGGAAGGCGAAAAGGGAAGGGCTGCTGTACACTACCTACCTTACCTACCTAAATAGGTACCTAGGTTCACGCTGGCCGGCCGTTGGCGCAGGCGGCAACCTAAGGCGCATCATGCCCGGCAAATTCCTGAGTCCTCCTCGAAGGATCATCAATCTTTGAAAATAGGTAGGTAGGAAACATGGACCACCTACCATAGGATCCAACCAGTTTGGATTTAAGAAAGAGAGAGGGTTTACTGGTTCCATCAGTTTGGATTTAAGAAAGAGGGTTTACTACCTAGTTTCGTTATCAGTCCAAGTTCATCTTCTCTTCCTCGAACTTGGTCGGTTTTGTCCATATCCCTATGGTGATCAATCATCCTCAGTCAGGACCAGACTACTCTAGACTAGACGAGACTATATTGCTCTAAGGAGAGGAGGAGGGGCTCAGGGCTGTCTGTCTCAGGACATTCACGTCCTGCCCTTCTCTGCTCTGGTCTGGTATGCTTTACTCTACTTTGCTTTATTCTACTCTACTGCTCTAACCTGACCGGATCAGAACACTTGGCTTCGTCTCTTCGTTCGGTCAAAGTCTTTTGTCTGTCTTTTATTTTTATTTTTTTCTTCTTCTTCTTCCAAGTTCCAACTGAGAACATACTAATGACAAGCTGGAACAAGTCGAGCGATGTTCATGATCACTTGAAAAATTGGGAGATATCGGTCGATTCATGTTATTCATTTCATGCCACTGTCCAATTACAAAGTTCCCATCCCATCCCATCCAACCAACCAACGCCTGCTCCCAAGTCTAGCCAGATCCCGTTCCATTTCCTTATTATATCCATATCCGTATCCATCCGTGTATCCGTGCTTCTTCTCTTGTTGCTTTTCCTCCCTCTTATTGTTTACAAACAGATGCAATCAATGCTTCCTCCTTGACATTCGAACAAACGAGAACCCTGCTCGTTTCATGCTGATGCTTTTCATGCCGCTCATGCTGTTGCACTCGGGTAACATCTTCCCCTTTTTCTTTTGTCTCGACAATCATGATGCTGCCTCGTCTACCAGAGACGATGTTGCTTATCCCCCACCTACAACCTACAGCCGGCAACAGGGGCAGCCCTAATTAAACCCCCTAAACCGTCCTCCCGACGGCCCCTTGACCGTAAACCTCCTCGATCTTCCCGTGCCAATATCAATCTTGGACAACTCCTCTTCCAAGCTTCCACCTCCCATACCTCCATATCCGCCTCCTACCCCTCCACCAGTCATCCCTCCCCACTCATCCACTCCCATCGGCGCAGCCCCCCTTCTCGTAAGGCTACCACTGTGTAACTGCAACGCGCCACTCATGGTCAGTCCACCGCCAGCTGGTCCTATAGTCGAGGGTAGTGAAAGCGGTACCTTGGCTGGCACCGGTGGGACGCCTCCGGGAGCAGCACCGGGGCTGTGGCCACCATATACGGGACCTCCTGGGGCGTTGCCATTCTGGGCCCCATAATAGTCAAAGGTCGACGCTCGAGAAAGGGACCTTGGCGTAAAGTTATCCTGCTGTGAAGAAGAAGGGGGGTAGCTGACGTTATCGCTGCTTCTGTTAAAACCCGGCTGACCCATGCCCATCGGTCCAGCTGCGGTGATGGTGTTTCTATGGTTACGTTTCTGCAACCTATTCCTACTGCTCACCGTACCAGCTACCGAGGGAGACGCGGGCGGTGTAATGCGTTGATGCTGCTCGTGCATAGACCGTGGTCTCTCACCGCCAGCACTGGTACCCGGACGAGAGCGTGGAGTCACCTGATGACCGGGCATGGCATGAGCGCCGGACAGAGGGGGCCGCGAGCCATGAGAGGAGTTTGGCGGAGTAGTGCTCTTCTTGGGTTCAGGCTCGGGAGCCCATGTTTCCATGGGAAGATGGTCAGAGGGGTCAACTTCCTTGCCGTCGTGGGTTATGATCTTGCCGCTCGCTTCATTGTAATCGGCGCGGCCGATGTTGTCGGAAACAGCGGGGTTGAGGGCGTTGTAAGAATCGGGACCAAATGGGATGCCAGAAAGGCGGCGCTCTTCGACAGGAGGCGGGGCAGGACTGACGGATTTGCGCTTGATGGTTTGTTGATGTGGGTTGGGGCTACGACTTGGCAATGGGCTTGGGTCTCGGCGCACTGGTGGGTTGGGAGAGTAAGAGCGCTGGTTCATAGCGACATTGTGGTTAGGAGTGATTGGTGTTGGTACGTCCTGGTAGCCGCCAGGGCTTCTGCCTTGAGGATGTTGTGGAACAGGTGGTTGATGTGGGGGAACTGGGGAGTGGTCACGAGGATATTGCTGGTAGTTGTTTCCAACTTGCGTGTCTATGGGGTGCGTGTATCGTTTTGAGTTCTTGTCTTGGTACACGCGCTCCGTGATCTCCTGGGCGATACTGGGATCGATGCCGGGGACCAAAGAAACAGGCACCGGAGGCGGTTGATAACTGTCGGTGTGGTCTTCGAATCCAGCCTGATACGACTGACTTCTCTGGTCATTTTGCGGGGGATAGTGTGACAAGGAACTCTCAGAGTGTCTAGCATATGCCATCCCATGGCCGCCAGGATCCGGTCGTCGGTATTGGTCTCCGTTGGGTTGTGTGTGTCCCGTCCGGCCTCGCATGGGGCCATTAGCCGACCCGGGAACTAGAACATCGGGAAGATCGTAGGGGTCGTGGTTCATGTCCAATGCGGAGGAGTTACGTAGAGGAGCCGCAGGAGCCGAGTCATAACCCCTGTACTGCGGGCGTCCCGGATAAGCTATCGAGCCTGTTTGGCGATGGGCCTCGTTTCTGAGAACGTCCTGCCGCATGTTGGGCGGCATTCCATTTCCAGACGCATCATAGCCGTTTTGGTAACCGTTTGTGGCTGGGGCATTGTTGCCATTTCGGATTCGGTGAGCCGGGGGAGGTGGAGGGCGGTCGCCTTCGAAGCTTCTTGGGCCGTCGTCTAACGAAGGGAGGTCGTATTGACTAGGTTGTTGATATTGTGGAGGGGTGCGATATGGGTGCTGCTGCGGCTGTTGTTGGTAGCGCGCAGCATGAGGGTTGTTGTACTCGAGTTGCTGAAGGGCTGATTGGTTTGGAATATAAGGGCCATCTCCGCCTTGGACAGATGGTGCTGGCAGTGGACGGCGTTTGGGCACGCCTCTCGGCCCGGGACCGGGTACTATGGCTGAAGGAATATGTTGCTCGACGGGATGTTGCTGTCGTTGCTTTACGACGGACTTTTCAGGTCTCGGTCGGTTATCGTAAAAGGTGATCTCTACGCGGACCTCGCCAGCGTACTTGCCTCTAGACTGTAGCTGGTGCCAGTCGTCGCTCTGACCACCGCCGGGAACAATGACGCCTCCGAGATCGACCCATGTTTCGCCAATCAACTCGCTTTTCTTGTCGTCGGTAAGTAGGGACAGCTTGAGCTGGTAGTAATCGGGGGAGTCGTGGACAGTGAATCGGAGCTCCTGGTCCCTGTAACATGGTGGATTGCGTGTTAGACGTGATTGGTGCCCTGGGGGAATATGCAGCAACGTACCATCTGGGGGTCTGGCCGCCGCGGATGTCGGTAGTGGTCTTCTTTGCTTCCTTTCCCAGACGTGCAGCACAGAAGGGGTCCTGCTTGCCAATGGTCTTGAGGTTGGGCAGGTTCTTTGCGCGATCCACGACGAGAACGAGGGTACCGATTTCGGGGCCGTCGGCGGCTGAGTCGGAGTAGAGGGCGCCGCCGGGGATGACAAACGACTCTTGTACTTTGGTGGGCATCTTGTCGGCGGCGTTTGTAAGTGGTGGTCGTGGAGGTGGTGGTATGGTTACAGTCGCCGACAAGAAGGCTGTCTCATAACCTGATCATATACGTGTGCGAGGATTGTTGGAATGTTTACTTTGGGATGAAGCTTCGTCTTTTCTTTGTGTATTATGGTTTTTTTTGTTGGTTGGCGCGGCGCGGGTGTCTTCTTTTGGCTTTCTCGTTGTTGCTGTACAAGCTAGGTAGGTAGGTAGGTAGGTAGCTGTTATGGGCTCGAGCTCTCCCTTGCGTCACAACGAGGGAGGAAGGGTCATCTAGCGATCGTTGGTGCCACTGTGATAACGATTGAAGGGCGGCGCAATAGTATGGACAATGGACGAGACCAGCGAATGGAAGTGCGGCGGAAAGTGAAAATAAAAAAAAAAAGAGCGAAGAGATCAAAAATGAAAGAAGACCGAGGTGAGGGTCAGTCAGTTAGTCAGTCAGTCAGTGGACGTGGGCTTCAAACTTGTTTTGAGAAGACGGACAGACGAGGAGGAGGGGACGACGGTCGGGCACTGCCTTGGCCAAGACGCCAACCAAACAACAACCCACGTCTAGTCTAAAATAGATAATAGTATGAAAAGAGTAGAGTTGTAGTTGCGCGATCCCAGATCGAAGCGTGCAGATAGTCGGTCGAGGGAGGAGTCGGTTCTTGAAGAACAAAGGGAACTGAAGACGACTGGCTGGAGAGCGACAAAAGTGGAAGCGGACGGACAAGAAAGCGGGCGTGTCTGGGGCTCTGGCGTCGTCGTAAACACAACGCAACGCAACGCAACGCAACGCAACGGCAGAGAGGATCCGCAGCGGGATGTAAGCCCAGACCACCTAGCAGAGACGGTGGGTCCCTTTTGTCGACCGCCGCCGTCCGGTTTGGGAAAAGAGAGGGGTCCACTACTATCTTCTAGTGCATAAACACTAAAAATCCCCGACCGCCTTTGACTTCCATGTTCTTGTTCCATGCCTGCAGAGTTGCGGTGCAGTCAGGTCGCTCTCTCTCATGAGATTCATCATCTTTCACTGGTTACTGCATCCAAGTGTACATACACTAGAGATCTGGGCGAGGGAACAAATCCATGCGATGGTTAGGTGGTGGATCTCTCCAACTGCCAACCATTCATCAGAGTTAAACCCAAGCTTACAAGGGCCTCAAGGGCTCACCACAAACAGGCCTTGGTTTCAGATCCTAGCGTTGGTTTTGTTTTGTTGGGGTGGCTGGCAGCATCCGGAAACGGACATGCGACCACAGCATCGTCTTCCGATGCGAACACATTACTTCAACAGAGAAAGGAAGGAATGTCACTGCATCCCGCTTCCCGAGATCATCACCACCGATCCCATCTTCTCAACCTGGTTACATACTATCACGTACCTCGGAGGAGATCATCGGATCCTTTCTTCTACACTACATACATGTCAAACGTTGATCATCCATCGCCACGAACCATGACTTACATATATGGACCTGGCTACTTGTTGTCCAACGTCTACCACTGTGTACTGTCCATGTTACTGGCTACTACCCCTGACGAACAACAACAACAACAACAAATAACAAAGATGGTGTGGCAACGAACCGAGTGCATGTGTGGCGGGCCTGCGGGCTGCTGTACCTGACATGAGGCTTGTTGATGATCGGATGGAGCATCGGAGAGAACTTCCAGAACCCCTTCAACTTCCCTTGTTGTCTCTTTCATTATTTTCATTCCAGTCTTCAATCCTCGATCATCTTCATCTCTTCCGACTCCAAGGTACAGTTTCACCTTTTCAACATCAACACCGCACCGCACCGCCCAGCACAGTACCAGACCCTGCATAAGCCTCGTAAGCTGTTTCAAGCTCTCCAAACAAGCTGAGCAAGCTGAAAATATGTCTCCATCCCGTCACTGTCTTTCCAAGACCCCACCACCCACCCACCCACCTTCTCAAGAAACCATCCGAAGCAAGGACATCCCCCGCTTTCTTATTCTTATTCCATACCTCGGCTTCCTTCTTCCGTCCTCAACTCCTCATCATCATCATCCCCTGTCGGCTTGTCACTGTCCGTCTGTTAGTCTGTCACTATCCTTCCAAACGCCATCATCCAATCTCCTGTCCTGCCCTGTCACTGTCACTCTCCTTCCAAGCGCCGTCATTTAATCTCCTACCCAGCCCTGGCTTGCGTGCCCTGCTCAGCCCTGCTCAGCCCAGCCCTGTCCTTCCCTAGCCCCGACTCCCCGAGATCGATGCGCTACAAGAACCATGATCTCTCATTGGTGTTGAGATCAGGCGCATCGGAGCCTTGCTGAAGCCTGCCCGGCAACGAAGCGAGCCTAGGGGGCCCTTGCCCCTAGGCCCCCTTGGGAACCCCGCTACAAATCTACAAGTACAACATATCACCCAGCGAGCCTAGATAGAAACCCCGGTCCCGTCAGGTCAGGTCTTGACGACGTCACACTGGACGATGGACGACCGACGTAGACGACGGTTCCTTACATTGAGGGATGGCCGTTGTTTACTACGGCGAGAGAACCGTTCACAGCTCTTCTACATAGTGACCGTCTATTTTCCCATCCCAATACTACTCTCAAGCTGTCTGTTCCATCTCGTCCTATCTTCTATGATACTAGTCAGAGATGACCAACTGTCAACAATTGCAGGGTACTCGGTACGCTCGAGGGAAAAGCCTCACAAAGCCTCACAAAGCCTCAGGCCCTGCTTGACAGTGTCGGAATTATACAGGAATGTCCCTAGTATCTACAAGGAATCCGGGCAGCCATTTCTCTTGCATTTAAAGGGGATCTTGCAGAAGGGGGGGTGAGTGCACGGACCCTCTGGAAGCCGCTGCCTATTGTGATCGAGAACCGGCAACCAAAAAGTGGAGTAAGTTGCCTGGTCAAGGGGTTAAGAATGGTTTCTCCTAGCAAAAAGATACCCCTGTACTTGCAAATCTAGCCTGTCAGTCTTGTACTTTGCAGTTTGCAGCTTCTGTATGGGAAAATAATTCGGGCAGGAAATTTCTTGCATATAACGGCGTTCTTGCAGAAGGGGGGGGGTTGTAGATACTAGGGACATTCCTATACAGTGGAAATTAAGAAAAGAGAACCGAAAAAAACATACAGATTGAAAAAAAAGATACAACACCAGGGATTCGCCTAGTCTGGCCCTCACTGGCTTATCTATGGGAGAGCGGACGGGATCCCGAGTTTTCCAGTGGGTGTGGTCGTATGTGTTTATGCCGTCAGAAAGCACAGCTTATAGAGCAACTGTTGTTTTATCCCATATCGAGAGAGTCGGAACGAGACCTGTCTACCTGCCTGCTAGGTACATATAGATTCCAGCTATACAGCTTGTTTTTGGAGTTTTAGCAAGCCCAAGATGAAAGAGAGAAAACAGCCATCTACGTCTTTTATTCAGTGTTGCGGACAGCATGGAATGGCCAGGACCGATATTAGAGAAGAGAAGAGGTGTGTGTGGTGGGCATCAGCAACATTTGTTTACTTACCCCTTTTTTACATTCACCATTCTCTTACCACACGAGGTTGCTGCAAGTGCTTGAGCTAGTAAAGTCAACACACATTGGGTATATAACTAGAAACCATGTGCTAGTCAACTCCCCAGATACGATCACTTGGTTTATATAAACCAGCTATATGACTAAACGCAATGCAAACCCCCAACTCTATGAGTTCCCATGACACCCTCCGATGTATACCTTGAGACCAACACCGACCAAATTTACCAACTAATGAGCCAACTTGAACCCTTTTAAAGCTCCAACCACAACTCCAGACGCTATGAAAAAGGCAACATGCTAAGTCTACTGCGAGTGAACTTCTTTCTCTTACTGTGAAGCCTCCTCTGCCTCTGTCATGAACATCAGCTCAAGAGCCTCATCGGGCGTTTTGAAGACCATAGGCTGCGAGACCAGACGTTCATGGCATCTAATCGTCATCAATCTCAATCACTTCCACATTCGACGGTGGTCCAGATCTCCTCGACACCGAACCAGCCACACTGGGCACCGGAGCAGGAGTTGCCGACGCGGTCTTGATCTTCTTCTGCCTGGGCTCCAGATCCTCGCCATCGCTATCATCATCATCGTCATCGTCGTCCTGCACCACAACGGTCCACTTGCCGTCCGCCTCCACGTGCAAAGCTTTACTATACTGAGGCTTTCTGCCCGTGCGCTCCAGCTCCTTACGGACTTTGAGTAAGAAGCCATCAATTTGCAGATCGTACGGACCTGCTATCTTATCGCAGCCTGACAGCGGACAGGCCCACTTGTCCGGGCTTGTCGGCTGAGGCGGGCATTTACATGCTCTACCCTCATGACCGCAGGGCACCTTGGACACCTGCCTCGTGTTCAGAAAGGTTTCAAGGTCGAAACACTCCAAGTGGGTGCATGCACCACCGCGAACAGGTGTGTGGAACATGACCGACGAGAAAGGATCAGTCAGGTCAATGGACAGGTACGGTACTGCAACCGAGACCTCATCATCGGCGCCGCTCCCGCCAAGTCGATCCTTGATGATTTGCAGAGTTTTTGACTCAGGAATTAGCCGATTCTTCCAAACGTCATTGACGATGGTGGAATGCCTCAAGGTTTCGATCAACTCCACCGCGATGAAGAAGTTGGGACTTGGGGCGTTCTGGATGACAGCCTCAACCTTGTTTTTGCCCATTACGATCATTTCTGTAAGCTCGATAGACAGATCTTTCCCAAAATGGGGTTTTCTCCGAATTTCAAGGGGATTACCGTTGAAGGAAATAAAAATGTCTGGCCAATTCGACTGGGTGGCCCGCCATGTTTCATCCGACACGACGCCTTTCTGGTGGTTATTGATTCGGCAACAGCGAATTCTCCAGCGCAGCGACTGGTGGGGCTGTACGGCAATTGCTACACCGCGCCTGTCCGTCATCACTCTCAACCGATATTGCTCATCAGTTACTTCGAAGGGAACCGTGTAGATACGCACATTTTCCGCCAGCTGGGTGG